CATKYRAYKAAYAASWARWKTGKWYAAAAKAACAACAACAGAACACTGMTATAATAATAGCCAATAAAATTATATCTGTTATCAATACTATTAAATCATTTTCAATTGTATTATTTTATATACCAATAACATTATATATTATCGATAATAATTTTGTATAGTAATAATACTTAATAATTACCATGTAACAAAGACAGCAATGGCATTGTATTGTAGTCTTGTAATTCTTGGTGATTCTACGCAGCATGTTGCATCTGATACTTGCATGTACTTATTACAGTAGAAATTCAGAATGAAGTCAAGCTCCTATACAGGGAGCAATAAATCGATAGGTTAATAAAGGAAAATGTTATTCAATATAATAATCAACTGGACAACAGTGATACAGTAAGAACAGTGCAAAACCTGGATTGTAAATGAGTGGGGTTGAACAAAATAATGGTTCTAAGAAGCAGCATTAACAGAAACAGATTGAAATAAGATTGCTAGCTGAGATGTCTTTGTCCTATTGATATTTAAATGTTTTTTTAATGGACATTATGATCAAGAAAGCAATGAATTTATCAATATTATAAAGAAAGGCTCTATACTGTTGGTAATATTGACTTTGGACCCTTGGTTTTACTGTTAGTTTCCATTGCTAATGTGACTGGCCCAAGATAAAAGTCAAGGCATCATCAGTAAAAACCATTTGGCAGAATAGTGCATAGTACATGTATAAAGGAAAATTTTCTTTGGAAGACTGAAGGCAGTCTACTGATAACTGTACACCACATCTCAATTATGCCTTGACTGATTATGTGACAATGCAAACAAATAAATCATTCACTATCATTAATTATTAAGATGTGACAAGATATTTTCATGACATCGACTTTGTTCATATACCATGTCKACCTACCACAGTGCTCACTGGTCTTCCATAATGAAGACCATCAGGGGAGGAGTGGGGCTGTCCTTCTGCTACTAATGATGATGCATGAATTATTTTCACAGATGAATTTGAACTGGAAAATCAAAAGTAAAGTAACTAATTATGATATATTTACTGTACCTGTACTCCTATTCATTGGTGGATTTTTAATTATATTTAAACAAATGCAGGAAATATCTGCATGATACTGTAGTCAACTCTAGCCTCCTCCACAGGCAACTCTTTTTTCCTCCTTTGGGCTTCCTTTGTAACGGTCATTTTGGCCGTTAGGGACTAGTGACGAGATAGCAAAAATCCCTTGTCTCGCCCCCATTCTCCCTCTTTTGACTCGTCAAAAAGACAGGAAGCCCGTGATTCTTAGTGATGCCTGCGGAGGAGGCTAAGTCAACTCATAATACAATAACTTTTCAGCAGTTTAGACATATTACTTGAGAATTTCTGAATGCATTATTTGAGGAATTTTTACTTACAAGACTTCATCTGCAATTTGATTAAAAATCTCTATTTTTCTGTTTGTGATTAATTTTCTTGATTTGCTCAGCTTATTGTATACCACTGGTTCTACAATGGAAAGTTTGATTGRACATTAAACCACACTTGCCTGGGGAGAATGGGTGGTGAAGGTATTGCTAACATGACCTTGAAATGTCAATGTTAATAGGGGATGTCATATTCAGTTGAATTTTCACTTGCAGATGTTCATGTAAGCAGAGAGCTCTAAGAATGGATAGCTTTCCAAAACCCTGCTCATTTTCCTTTCATACAAACACTTGAAATTAAACACTTTCTGATAGGTGGACAGTTCTGCCACAACAAAGTTTCTGTTGCTCAAGGGCGTCCACTTTTGTGAGATTCAACTGCACATAATGTGATCAACATACAACTACATGTAGCACATCAATAATTTTTAGCGATGAAGACAAAAATTCTTGAGACATAACTACAGAAGTAATTGGTACTAGAAGTGTATTAAAGGAGTATTCCAAAAAACACTAGAAAAAACTATTTGAGAGTTAAATAAATTTTAAATCATTCACTGCATTGCCTTACCTTGTTTCATCCATAATACTACAGGAGATTCAGGAAATGGAGACTTAAGTGGTGACACTGGAAACTTCGCCTTAGGTTTATAATTTATCTTAGACAACACATCAATTGCCTCTTTTAGGACAGTTAGATTTTCTGAAAGTAAATCATCCCAATAAATTAATAAATAAACATAGGCAAGTCTAGTTGATATCAGTGTATACATTTTGTTTCATTGCCATAGATATTTCACTATTTGACCACTAAATATTAAGAGCACATGACACAATTTCACCCATAAACATTTGCCCTCTCTAGTATTTGACGCAATATTCACCACAAGGGGCTTTAAAAACAATTTTTAAAGAGTGCAGGCTCATTTACACTTTTGCCACACATCTGTCAAGGAAAGGGTTTCTGGAACTCCTTAAACCACCCCCTGCACACACCCTTCTATAAGGAGACCGGAAAACTTACCGATATTTGTACTTTTGATTGATACTAAAACTAGCACTTACTCTGATAAGCAGTGGATGACTTTAAACCTTGATATTTGATAGCCCACTAAAACCAGAAAATATATCTATTAGAGCAAATTTTGTATGATTGTGCAAAGGCATGGATCACGTCACAGCACCATCACAGAACCTTGTCTTCTTGTGATTCCACAAAAATTCAACAATACTTTGTCATTGCACGGTACTGTCATGGTGCAAAGGTGCCGTGCACAAAATATGGAATCTGCCTTAAATTTGAAGCAGTCAACATTTTTTTGGAATAGCTGTAGTAGTTCAATATGATACTTGCAAGACTAGATTACAATTTAAATCACTTGCTTTCACAAAACTCAATAATCAATATTGTTTTTGGTATAACATATTTAACATTCAGAGAGACAGAGCCTCTTCAATTCTACTCACAGCTGATATTCCTGAAATGATAAGCTGTGGTCTCCCTTTTGAATTCTGAAGAAAAAGTTTCAAGCAAGTAATTATAATCAATTTAAGAATAAATTTATGTCATGTAATATGTAACAAAGCTATGATCAGAGAGAGTGCATATGACATAATATTTTGACTGATACAAAATGAGGTGATCTGTATTTATTTACATAATATAAGTTCTAATTTTAACAAGGTTTATGTACTTTTATCCACTGTTTAAATAAGTCCTCCATTGACTTGTCTGGATTAAATTGCCAGTAGAAATTCTTGAAAAAAGGGTAAAAAACAAAATTGTTTAACATGAATGACAAAAATCAATTTTTGTCCTCAAACTTTTAATTTAATAATTTACTTACAATACTAATGTTCCCCTCAGAATAAAGTATATTATGGTGCTGTTAGTAAGAAAAAAAGGAATGAGATGAAAGGGACTCTGAATGAGCTGGAATCCATCACTACTGTTTCTAAGYTGGTAAAGACTTGAAATAGTACAGTACCTGTTTTCCATTGATGTCATATGAAGGATTTAGTGTCTTCACTAATTCAAAGAATAGACCACGACTTCTTGAATCACCAACAAATGCAATTGGCTGATTCTGCAAGCACGTCCTCACTTCACTGAAAATTACAAAACAAAATTGTGACACATCTGTATTGTATTCTATGGGCATAGGGCTGAATGAAAGTGACTGGCAAGCAGCTATTTAATATTATCACAAAGAATACCGTGCCAAAGAAGTACAAAGTAGCCATAACTTTTAGAACTATTTGCACTATTTGCAGTTTATTTAGAACTATTAGAACTATTTGAAGTGTTTTAGGACAGACTTTTAACAACCAACATACAAACTCATGCATAGTATTTGAGCATTGAAAATTTATGTTTCTTCTAAAAGGCTTATATCAAATATTATGGTATCTCAATTAAATCATTCCAGATGAAATTAATTTGTTAAATATGCTTTAATAATTCATGATCTATTAGTCCAATAAAAGCTATCTGTTTGGTCAGGTGATTGATCTTGCAAATCTATTATAACACTTAGTGTTATCATTTGGATAATCCCGCAATAGCAAAGGGGTCATCATAGACTTTTACTAGGTTTTAAAGGATAATTACTGGGAACAGAGGCAATAGCCCAAGACAGCATGATTGAGGAGATAAAAAATTTTACCAAATTTACCTTGGAATGTATCTGTGCATCATACAGCCATACGGTTGCCATGTTTTACCCCGCCACCATCCAGAGCTAAACATTAAGTCACATGTGTCTAATCCTATCAAAAAATATAATTTAAATTATCAGTATTAAGTGCAACACAGCCTTTTCCACAGGCACCTCACTTTTCCAGTTTTTACATACTTTGGGGTCCCTTTGGAAAAAATAGGGAAGCCAGGGGTTTTGTTACTAGTCCTGCTCTCTTACTGATCTAACACAGGAAGCCCACTATTTTAGAAAGGAACCAGACATCTGTGGAGGAGGCTAAGAGCAACAGGGCAATATTTAAAGAATAAATAAACAGCTGCCATGAAAATAAAACAATTGCTATATGTCACTTCTTTAATTCTCACTGCTACAGAATATATTATGAATAAAATATATCTTAAAACTTAAAATTATCGAAAATGCTTTGGAAAAAGTGCTCAACTTTGTCAAGGAGCATTGCACAAAATAAAAATGTACATGAAGACTAGAATGATTTAGTGTTTTATTGCTACAAGCTGGTTTCATATGGTCATCAGAGATGGCCACACTCGTCAGGCAAGTTACAATGAGTGAATGACCGTTAAAGTTTTTTTCATCAAATATATCCTAATAGAGAGATTAAAGGAAATTTCTAATGCTGTATGAAGAACGATTCTCATTTGTGAAGTAAAGGCAGAGAAGGATACATAATAAGATAATTATATTTGTTGCTAGCTTTTGCTGCACATTCTTTGCCACTTCTGTTTCCACTAGCTGACTCTCACAAAACGGAACCGTTATAAGTCTGTCTCTGTCACTGGTTATGATTTTAGAGATAGGGGAGGGGTGACAAGGTGGGTTAACCCAATTCCTAAAATTGTTCTATCAATATAAACAACAACAAAGTCATTTGCATAAACGTTTTTTCATCCCTGTGAATGATTTTGATTTAAAACTCCAAATCATGCTTGTAAGTTAATTATTATTGACATTATCAAAGTTTTGGAGCTTGAGATTATTTATCTTGCAAAAAATACAAATATGATATATGCAAATGACTTTTTGTGTTGTCTTTATGTCTGAACAACGTTACTGGGATTGACAGCAAGTCTTGACTTACTTGTAATGTCGAATGATTGGAACAGAAAAATTATATTAATTTCTTTTATAATCTGTTAAAAATACCGATTCTGTGCGGCTTTTCAGGTTTACTATTATAATATAATACATTTCCCAAGTACTCTTCCAATAAAAAACTTGAATTTTGTCAGGTTTCTATTAAGCTTATACCGGTAGCCTTTGATAAACCAGCTGATCMATAAGCTTATCATCACACTATCAAATCTATTTAAGCTTATTTGTGTACCGATAATTATCGTGTTTGTTGAGCTCCCATTGTTGTCATGAAATTAGTCTTTTCAATTTTAAGACATGTAACATCCAACTCAGAACGATCGRGATAAAGCTTTACCTGAATTTAATGCCCGTACYAGATGAACAACGAACGCAATAAGCACTATGAAAAAGGCTACTGATTTACATATTCTTTCAATTCTTGTAGCATTTGCAGAATTTCCAGAGGAGCTCTTTTCTTTTGCAGCACTCGATTTTGGCCTTTGAGGTTCTGAAMTAAGATTTTTAAGATCAAAAGTAACTGAATGGTGTCGATCAGAAGAATGATTGTCCACCATTATGGATTTTATGTTTTAATGCGATTAACTGCTGACCTTTGATCGAAGGCGCTTTTCTCAAGCCACGTCACAAATTTGGCGCCATGAAAACATTTACCTTTCTCTGCAGACGCGATTCACTCCACTACCTTACAAGAGTACATCATGAAAAAACGATAATTATCAACGACATCTCAGTGGTCAACTGAACAGGTTAGATCTGGGGGGAGGTAGGGTTAGGGGGGGTTAGGGTTAGGGGCTGCTATTAGGTTGGCCAGCCACCCCCATTTTAGGGTTTAAAAAATAAAGACAAAGATCTTATATAAATAAATAAAACAAAAAAATTTAAGCAGAATGGGATTCATTCTTTCTAGCTCTTAGTAAACCACTTCACGTTTTTGTAGATCCCATGGTCCCAGTTCAAATTTGAGGTCACTTGACAGGGTCAGAAATATATTGCTGAGAAACTTACTGTATTCAAAAATGTACATATAGAATATTTAGTACATTTTTGTACTAAAATTACACAGTTTTATTGTTACTCATGATCACCTTATAAATTAAAGGCAGTCATTGACTGCATATGGCTAGCTGTTAGATCTTTTGAAAATGTGAAGGAAAAAGCAAAATTATTTTAACGGTAGTAAAATCTATGTGAAATTGATGGATATGGTTGGAATTGAAAATCGAAGAAAATGATATATGGCAACGCAATTCAGAGAGAATTTTATCGCTAAGCTACTTCGACTTTTAGCTAGGCTCTTATATGAATTGCATATGTAGTTGAGAAAATTACAAAAACGGGCCATTTGGCACTCACTCAACTCAGCCATACACGGGACGCCATGTCATGCACTAGTTGGTGACATAATTTCGGGTTCCTTGTGCTGTTACACTAAGTCACGAACTACTTACCCTGCGAGCAGAGGAATTTTCCACCCCCTTCTACTTTTCCTTTCGTAGATAGGGGAAAAATACCTCTGCTCGCAGGGTACGAACTACTTAGCTAAGTGGCTAGACTAGTCTCTTTCAGAGMCAGCTAGCCACAAAAACGCAACACATCTATGAAATGACAGGATCTTGCAGCTGGGTGTCACCTGCTTTAAATCAATCAGACAAGGCAAAATTATGCCTTGACGGACTAGAAATAGACCCTCCTCCGAAATCCCTCGTGGAAACGGATGTACACAGTCTATTTCTATTCAGTCAAGGCATGATTTTGCCTTGGCTGATTGATTTAAGRCAGGTGATCCGGATCCCTAGCTGCAAGAGCCTGTCATTTCAGAACTAGATAATATTGCATTTATTTTAGGGTTGCATTATTCKGAWRKWTWAKWAAAAACTGASGGGAGGGGAGGGGGTACTCTCCTATTTATTATACGTAGAAGTTCCGCCAAATAACATATTGACATCTTTTACMGCGCACTACCTGGTTACGTCTTGGATGTTGAATTGAAAGTTTGCTGTCTTAAATATGGTCAGGGTTTACAMGTACCAACGGAACGTCCCCGTTCGAATCATMATSAAGTAACCACCTKCAACCCATCCCCCTGTCGKCTGGGTAAAAATTACTTGTTGCCTTGGGCATAGTTAGTAGAGGAGACAGTCTCCCTCTACTAACTATGCCTTGGTTATTATTCGGCTATTGGACTTTTGCCAATATAATTTCTCATAGTTTGATTTCCTTTTGAGAGGCCGTAAAGCCGAAAAGTTTCAAATTTGCTTGTTGTCCTATGAAATAACATGAAATAAAACTTATCGGAAGTAAACTTCAACTTCAAAAAAACTCGACCAAAAGGTTAGCCTATTTCTATTTTGATTTTGCGTCCTGTTGTCAACTGAGTCTGACTTTGATATTGTCAAACGCGGTCGGTAGAATATAGTGTGCTCTCATTGCAAAATCCTTGATCTGACACTGTTGACTGATTGTAATTCAAGCAAACTCGCTTGAATAACTTCCAAAAAAACTTAATCATGCAGTTCTCTCATTATAAGGTCCATGTGTTATATCCGTGAAACCTGTTATGTTATATACTGTGAACACCACAATTTTTTGGCGAAGTGTACCGCTATCTATGATTTTTCCAATTATCGTTTTGTCGATCATGAATAAAATCCTATATCAACGTAGGAGGTGCTTCTCAACTATCCTCTTCCGCAGGAAAACTGCGATTTTTTTTAGAAAGGAAATGCTGAGACGCCGTGAGAGGATATAATTCCAAACAACGTTGCCATGACTTGTGATGGACATGAAACTATTGGAATCAAGTAGAAGTTGATGTGSCGATAAATGCGCAAATGATAATCTTTGCAAAACCAAAATCAAGGATATCAGTAGAAAATATCATTTCTTACAATTTTACAAAATTTAGTGACGTCACAAGACTTACGTCACGTCGCCACCGGTGATACGTCGATACGAGGCATCGATCTAATATGGCGGAACTTGGTTGTTGAGATACCCGGTTTCGCTCAGCTTTAATATTTCCTCATGTGTATAACGATGGACAAAATAAGGTAATGTAAAAACCCTACAAATAGTCGGGGAATTAATACATGGTAGACTTTGCCCTGTTGACATTTTCTTTTTTTAGTTTTTAGACAAATTTGCATAGTCTACACAAGCCGGCATTACGGTTTTATTTTATGCAAAAATCCATGATAGACCATATAGCATTTGGCTCAAAAGAGAATTACCTCATGATGAACTGTGTGTATATTTGGTATTTTCAAGGTCACTTTGATCTTGATGACTGTCCAACTTCTCCATGATATTAGTATTTCTTCCTTCTTTTTAACTCGATTTAAGTTTAGATAGACCACAAAACTACTGCAGTTGGCTACAGAAATTTCGGAGCTATTAAATGTAGCCCGTACTGTTTAATGATAAACTTTAATTAAATTTTGGCAGCAGGGTTTGTTATACATGTATATATTTTGTAATAAATGGTATAACAGGTTGGTTTGACCAGCTAAAAGGTTATCATATAAATACCTAGAGTTGAATCGAGCTAATATAAAAATTTCCGCGTGATCCCGACAAGGTTCCAGAGCTGAGATATCGCTGGTGAAGAATGTAAAGAGGRAGGCTGCTCATGGTAAAACTATGTAGCAACTTAGTGCCTGATGTGATAACTTGGTGTTCAGTCGGCCAAATTAATCTAGAAACTGAAATAAAATTCAAAGTATAGCCGAACCTCATGATGTTCTGACAAAGATAGTCCAGACTACTTATGATATACCAAGCTAAAGATAATGTCACGACAAGGGGCATTTCATAATCATCCTTAAGGGACGCTGAAGGTAGACAAAACAGTTGACAACATTACCCCTGGCTGTCGCCAATGGATGCCAAGGATGGCATTCGTATCATGTGTGTCGTTTTCAACCACTCTTTCCACAGTCCTGTAGTTCCATTTGAGAGTATAGATTTAATGTATCAAGCAATTTTCTTGTCAACCTGTTTTCAACAGCAGCTGTCATAGAGTCAATTTGAAAGTTTATATTAATTGTGTGCTTCGTGAAGACATCATAACTGTCGTAGTTCATAACCCACAAGACTGCGGCATCGCTGCGAGTGCATCACTTTTTCTTTTAAGAGTAAACTGCTAAGTTTCAAACAAACTAGAATAATTCTAAGCAGAATATTTAGTGCCTTTCTGGAGGCTCGAAGTCGCAGTGCACCGGTCTTTTATGGTGACGCCTGACGGAGTCTGACTAAGAAAAGGTTGGTTGGGCTACAGTAATATGTAACCCTGCCGGCAACCTCGTTTATCCTTGCCTATCTAAGAGCATTGATTCGATCGGCCAGTTTATCTCGCTTGATTGGTGTTAACATTGCACATGGGCCCCTTGCATGACAGACGGAGGTCGTCGCTTTTTTATATCTTGTGCGAGAGAGTTATGCAGGCCTAATAAAACACATCCCAGGACAGACGTTTGAAACTGACAGGGGGCTAGATACCTGTAAGTTGGGTTTTTCTTATCKAATTACTATTCTTGTATAGATAAACTACTTTCAAATGAAAAATCAATYCTTCAAATCAGACTTTTACTCGCGTCTTACAAGTTCTCAGGTCGTATACGCGTAGCCCTCTCTCAATAATATAATCAGTTATTCGCATAGGCGCATAACACGTTCTTATCGAGAGGCCTACCAGCTTTGCTCTCTCCCTCTAATCATCTCAAGTACAAAATGGATATGAATCCTATGAAATCCAAAACATAACTTGCTAAAAGTGTATGAACACGTCTTATGACTCTGAAAAAAAAATAACGGAAAATTGAATTGTTTTTGSCAAATGTAAACGGCGTCTGCCGTGTGGGACTACTAATGCATCCTCAATCATAGTACAAATCTAGTTCGTTTTTCTTCGTGAATCATAAATCACAACGTGAAATCACTTAAGTTTTATATTAACATTTTTATAGTAACAGACCCGAGTTTGAAATAGAAATAGTATTGATTTTCAGTCGCTCTCTTCAGGAGAGTCATGAGCCAGTAGTGAGAGAACTCTGGCAAGAAAACTGACGAGAACCAAGTTCAGTATCAGCTGAGCCGAAAGGTCTCTCGAAAGCTKGGAGTTCAAATTTCTGTGTCTCGGATAGATGAACTTGAATTTTATACGGAGCAAACAAAACCAAAAGAAAGCTACCAAGCTCGAGAAGCTCGTCATTCGAATTTATACGCATTAACTCTTTAAATTCGCCGTTGAAAGTTATAACACAACAATTTTTCCCTCGGGTATCCTCGAGTATACAATCTTTACCAGAATAATCTCCCATACAGATCAGGTATATATACGGACACGGTAATTGTTAAATTCCCGCTAATACAGTAAATTATATTAACAGCCTTCGGGTAGTCTAAAAATATACGCAATAATGCCCTCTGGCTTGAGAATATCACTCTAAAAAAAGGAAGAAGAAAAAAAGATAAAAAAGACAGTAAAAACGAATGAATAGACATAAAATTGAAKGAAAAACAGAAAAGAAAAGCGAAAAGCGACTATACTATTTCTGTCATGTCATTGAACAAAGAATAACTCCCGCCTACGTCAAACTTACGTCATTGGTTTCTAAACAAATAAAAAGTAAAACATCAAAATGTTCTGACGATAAAGAGGAAAGCTTACAGAGAAGAGGATTAAACCGTCGTTACGTTTTTAAAAACTACAGCAAGGTAACCTTTTTTAATTACCCTCACTAGTATGTGATAGTTTCAGTGATTTGAGTGAAAAAGGTTGAGTACTGTCTCAGAGTTTAGTGCCTACCAACGAAACAAGTGCATTTTACAAACTATGGAGTGAGTTCGTGTTTGTATACCAAAAGTAATTCAGATCTAATTGCTCTATGAAAWGTGATGCAAAACTGCAGTTTTGCTTGCATAGCGTAAACATATGCGCGGAGCTGTCTTGTACATACAGAGTGTACATGTACAGTTTTTGTTTTCTAAAGTATATAATCATCTTTATATATACCATTCTTTTAATTGATTTGTCGCAGAYAGGCATTTTTGGTATAATAAAAAATAAAGAAAATACACACATGCAAGACACCATCGCAAAAAAAGAATTAAGAGTTCATCGRAGTTCGGCGTCGTCACGGTAACTGAACCGTCTCTTTTAGAGCTGAACATATGTACTTATCAAACCGTTTTATTAAATGTTACTGTTACTGAAGCAAYCATAATAAAATATGGTATTCATGAGCAAATACAATAACCAGTATCTGTTAGAGATTACAGCTTTTGAAGCATCTGTTAGAGCCTTCACCGTTTTTGAAGAACTTGAATAGTTTCGCAGTGAATTGCTATGTCACGCTTACTTTAACCATCGTAGCCGATGAAGTTAATTACTATGCATGGCTTAACCCTTACTAACGGCTCAAAAATAATTCATCTTAAGCCCTGAGACAAACATACACTCACAATTAAGTCTAGTGCTAATCAAGTGAAAGTCTGCTTCCTTATATTTTGACGTGACGCGTTAAACGGCGCTCARCGCCCAGGAACGCCTCTACATACCCTGGAACTCCCCTCTGCCCTCTAGGATCTACTTCAGTTTCGCCTTTAGATTCAGTTGTTTCAGGACTTATAAGTGCTTCTTATTTTCGTAAGACACTGAGCGGAAGTATTCAACTGGCTTTTACTCAGACWGGAGGATTTGACAGATGCTGCAACTTAGGTTAATAAGTTCATAGTGCGGCTCAGAAAAATCATAGTAAAAATGGACGTATAGTTTCGACATATGATTGATTCATAACTGATTCATTCCGTGTCTGTCATATCTTATGGCGCCTTCATTATAGATAAGTACGATGTCGTTCATTTTTCGTTCCAATCAATGTTGGAGCAAGAAGAATACGGCGAATTTATATGGATACTATTAAACACTTCAAACATAATTTTTATTAACTATCCTAGAGTTTCATAGAAAATAAAATTCATGGAGAAWCAAAAATTGTAAAATGAGCAAGAAAGACCGAWAACATTTGATCATTAAATACAATGGCTTCYATGAATTCAAGTGTCCAGTCCGTCTTCAACGCTTTCACGGGCTTCCACGTATGTTATGAAACAATGACGTCAGCAGTCATTACCTCACAGAGAGATCACCTGCCCACACTGATCTCGTTGGAAAAAATTTCTGAGTAGTATATTCCGCTATCTGGGCTCTTTTTATAGAATCAGTAGGAAAACACCTGATCTTCCTCGGTAAAAGRTTAAAAATTTAATCACCTTTTATTTTAGTGTCACGATATTGAATGATTAGAAAGTGATAACGTTTCGTTTTTAGATACTGCTGACGAATGGCGACAGCTTTATTCATCTCTCAGAATAGCTGGGTACTACCACGCTGAATCAGCGTTTCAGTGTCGTCAGGGAAGTAGGACTGAATAAGGTTGTCGGGAACTGAGTTACCCCAAGTTCATATTCACGYCGGCACTGTTCCACCCTCGGCTTCAGGCTGTTGATATACCGTCTGAGCTAGCTATTAGAAAGTGAACTTGTGATTTAAATGATGAAACGAGACTTAAATTGAAGAAATTGCTGTTGTTTATTGAAGCATTTAAAACAACAAACGGAACGGCTTATGTCACATGACTTATGATGTAAGTAGATTCTTACGACAACGTCTCCGTTTAGCACGAGAGTTATTTGACGTCCTTTGACTTGTTTAGAAGAAAGGAATATAGCGCACAACTTTTTCCAAGATGATGCAGAACATGTAAGTTGTTTTTTTTAACAATTTTGTGAAGCTTAGATATTTTTTGATTGAGTTGAGAGCCAAATAATTACTCAGCACTTAGAGATGCCTCGTTTTGACGCCTTCCGCGCAAAGTATTCTGGGAAATTTTAGTCGGAGTTTGTCCAAAACAGCTTATGCTTGGGGTTTCTACGGAAAAAGCTGACTCTATTTTCAATTTTCTTTCTCCTTTTGGCCACTAAGCTAAATATCATTTCAAGGTAAGGTGTTTGTGAGCCGCTTTMGGTGATCTGAGTGAAGAGAGTACGTGTTGTCGATCGTGTTAGTTTGAGACTCCTTCCCATGGTCTGGCGTAATGTATTCAGCGTGTATGGCGCCATCGGCCGAAATGTAAACCCTATTTCCCTCTCCTCTTCGGATCCTTACAATAACTCTGATTCTCGAGCTTCAATTATAACTTAAGAGTATTATGTCTTTGAGCATATAAGAAAGTACAATCAATGGTCCTGTGTTTGGTTTTGATGGCTCCTACGCCCCGATCCCAATAGTAGCCAAGAGGGTACTCTTTTCCCGTTGAAGAGGGCCGTCTAAGCGAAACACTTTCTCGCTTTCGGTGAGATTGCATTATATTTTTTTAATCTAAGATGTCTCTTAAAGTTCATTTATGAGTTTGCTTTAAATACAAACGCAAAAAGACGTAGGAAGACGGAAACATCAGAATAATCGTACGGCATTTCCAATTTCAGCAAAATCGACGTAATTTGTCGCGCCTTTTTCGTGCGATGGGACAGGACGGGTGTTTGTCATTACACTGATCTTGAAGAACAGCTGTTTCTTGTTTTAATAAAGCATTTTAATGTATTTTCTGTCTGTTAATTCTGAATTTTCAACTGTAACTTTGGTTCAAGTGTTGGTTGGAATACTTCCTTCAGATAATGAGATATAAAATATTGAAAATTAACATTTAAAATGCAAATTGACTATACAAATTGTGTCCCTTGATAGTATATTAACCTCCAGTGATATTAATAACTATTATTAACAATTATTAGGACAGTTTGAATTAAAGCATTTTAATTAAATTCCATACCAGCTTATTTTTTTTGGTACAGATTATTTTATTGTCAAACCAATCCTGACTAATGCTTTACTGCTTCAACAGAAACTGTATATGAGATGGATGGGTCAAGTGCATTATAATGTTGGATAGCAGAAAATACTAAGAGACAGCATTTACTTTTATAATATGGAGCTATCAAGAAGGAAATCACGAAATTCAACAAAAATAGATAACTTTGATATTGAGAGTTCTGAAAGTAAGGCTACAAGACGCAGGACAGGAGCGAGAATGCCAAGTTCCCTCTTAGYTCGTCTTGCTTCAACTCCTGGATTTGTAGATAAGCCAAATGTAGAAGTTGAAGGTGACTCTCTTGCTCGGAGAAGGACACCAAGAATGGCAAGCCTCAATGCAGCTGCTAAAGTTAATTTGTTCTTTGAACCATCTAGCCCATTGGCTGGTCGAAGCATGAATGAAATTCAACACCATTCTACTCGTAGGAAAAGTTCCCTTGAAAGGGAAATGGAAGCTAGTTTTAGGAATGGTGCGGGCTATGTTYATGACGAAGATGATGACATATTTGAAAATTATGATGTTTCTCAAGAAATATCCTCAACATCTGATGGCAATTTTGAAAATGAACTTGAAGTAACCAAAGAAAATCAAATGAAACCTGAAACAAAAACAAAATCTCATAACTTTACAAATGGCAATACAATTATAGGAAAGCTTGGTCAGAAGCGCAAGCTTGAGCCTGATTCAACTTCAGAGGGAGTGAAAAGYGGACGGAAGAAATTTGATATAAATAATATGCTTTTTCAGCGAGAGCAGCAGCTAGGTATGGAGTGTGATACAACAACAGACCAATGCTACAAGACCATGGTTGATGCTTGTATTCAAGTAGATCTTCCTCGTCCAACACCYCTAAAGCATATCAGAGTTCTTTCAGTTCCTATCAAAGGGCAAATCTACACTTCATCAGGCTCTATTCCATTCACAAAAAGTCACTTAGTAGCTCCTGGACCTCCAGCAAAACCACCGATTGAACATACACTAAGCAAGACAGCATCGACTAAGAGAACAGCCAGTTTAAATGCCCAAGCAATGCTTAATGCTATGATGTCCAGAGATGGACCTTTGCACAAATACAAAAATGCAGGAGACTATTTAGCACAGCGTTCAAAATATAAAAAGTCAAGCAAAGAAAATGTTGCTTCAAAAATTCCTAAAGATTATGTAAACCTTATGCCTCTGCGTATTCCAAAAATCAATTTTGCTGCTACCTCYACATCAAATTTTAGTGTTGGACGCCATAGACCTGCTGGAAATCCCATTAAGAGTATTTATTTGAAAAACTTAAACATGCAACTTGAAAAACTTCAGGCAGAGTARGCAAAGGAACCAAGAAAACACAAGGTAATCTTATTGAATGTGTCTACTACACTATTGTTTAGTGACAGAAAAGAGAGGAATAGAAATAAGTAAAGCATGGTGGTAGATATTTTTACTTGATTAAGTGCATTCTTTATCTTGAATGCCATTGTGTTCTGTGAAAAATGTTAGGATGCCACTGAAGGATATTTATCATGAATTTTTTTATTGCAGAGTATTTATAGAGTTGTATTATGATTATTTTAATCCCTTGATGGTTGATGTAATCTACTAGGTTTGTGTGTGTTTGAAACAACTGATAAAATACTATAAAAGCAAAGGGAAGCTTATCAAAATTTTGTTTATCATATATGTCAATGGTTGCATGTTTCATGGTGTTGTTTATTCTAAAGTGGATTCTTTTATAAGTCATTTATAAATATAATACATAATATAACTGCAGTTTATGTATAATATATATGTTATTTGATACCTGARTAGGTAGTTCCTTTGATTTATCGTTCACACTCTACATTCACAATTTGGTTGAATGATTTATTTTTCTGACTTTTTCTGTAGTCATTAGATTAATATCTATTTGTTCAAAACACTAAAAGTATACAACAAAAATACCACTAAATTATGCTAATTCTATTGTTTTCTATTGTTCAGTAAGCACTATTTAGCAGTAAACAGTGCAAGGTGTTCAAAAATTTAGTATAACTTATAGAGTGATTGCACTTAAAACCGTGCAACTGTACAAACTAAATAGTGCTATTTAGTTGTATTTAGTAAATCATGCATGCAATATGAAAATTAAATTGAATTGATACAAATGAAGCTTGCAATGCCATCTTGCTTCAGGTCCACTTTTAGTACAAATTAGTACTACTCAGATTTTGCACAGTTGCATGGTTTAAGTGTGATCACTCTACTATATAGTTCCAATAGTGTTTGTTGTCTATTAGTAAACAGGTTTAGAATTAGTCCAATGTCGATTAACAGTATTTTGGCTTGGTTTCGTAGATATAATTTACATTATTTTGAGGAGTCTGGATATATTTTTTCTTCTTTCTTTTCTGCAGAGGACCAATGGTTGGACATATCATGGTGAACCTCTGGACAAACCTTACTGTTATGTAAGTTGTGGTCTGCAATTATCTTTGAATATTGTTCACTATWGATTCCAACATCCTGGGGATATGATTATGATTATTTGTATGTTTTCATACATGATTGATTGACAGACTGATAGGTTTGTTTGGTTAATAAAATGATTGTTTAACTAATTAGCAAATTAATTTTGTCTGATTGCTTGACAAGCGTAATTGATTGACAACATGGATTGATTTTGATTGATTGATTAATTAATTAATAAATTAACTGACTGATTAATTGTTCAGCAATTACTTTACAAGTTATTGCTTAACTGATTTTTTGACCAAATGATTAATGATAATTATAAGTTAGTTATTTGATGGATTAATCATATTGTTAATTAAATGATCAATTAATTAAATGTCTGGTTGATGTTAGGATGACAAGATAGTCATAAGGCACTACTACAGTGGAATCCAAAGAGGTGATGAAATCATCAATGTAAGGGARTCTGTTCTCTTGAAAGCTGGAACCAGAAGGAGAGACCAGCCCTTTGTTGCTAGAGTGTCTGGCTTGTGGGAAGAAAATGAAGGTTTGTTAACAATTCTATACTGTTTAGCATTGAATACAGAAATTGCATTGAAGAAGATGCCTTGTTGTTTTGATGCTCATTGTGTCATCAGTACTTGATGGAAATAGRAAAGCATTTCTCATTGGTTTACTTGTCCATTTGGAAACTTTCCTTTTCTATTGCTTATGAGATCTGTGCAGATGTAGTGGCATAAGAACAATACATATAAAAGGAAAGAAAGATCAGATCAGACAGACATTTTAATAAACATTGAATAAAAAAATGAATTATCCAGACATTTGCTGACTAAGCGAAGGGAAAATCAGCATGCATTCATTCAGATTTATGGCTGAATCAAACAGTATTTTCAGAGCAAGATTTACTTATTTATAAATGTTGTTAACTATTGATAGGAGGAGGGGAGGGGGGAGGGGAAGGGAGGGTACTTTAGTAAAGATTGAGCTCTATCATATATATAACAGCATCCACTATAATGTAAAGAATCACACCTATGGAGTAACTGAAAGTTGTTTTTTTTTCCAAGGTCCCAATGCTGGAGAGATGATGATGAGTGTGTTCTGGTATTACAGACCAGAACAAACTGAGGTGGGAAGGATGCCACATGTTCATGGCGAGGTAATATCTGCAACCATGAGTACAGTATATTTTACAAAAAAGTATAGAAACTGAAGTGTAGTGAGTGATTCTCCTTAAGTATATTCTCATTATCTCCCAGACGGCCATTTTATAACTTTTGAATACATGTACAACATAACCAAGTCTGTTTWAAAAAAAAAAATCTTTGGGATTTGATATTTATCCTTTGTTTCTTTAGATGGAGGTGATGGTATCCAAACATAAGGATGATAACAGTGTAGCTTGTATAGTTGATAAATGCTATGTTTTGACATATCCTGAGTACTGTAGGTATGTATTACCTTTTAAGGAAAAAAAAACGTACTAAAAAAACGTACAAAAACGTACCATCCTTAGACACCTGGCGTCAGTTTGAGTTGGTACATGAGAGAAAGGAAAGTTTTGAGTGGAAAGACTCCCTACAATTTCCCCAGTCTCTAATCAAAAGCCCTAGGTTTCCAAACCTATCAGAACTTACTATGATGATTTAAAACACTGCAATTTATAGGCTGAGATATGTCGGTAGAAACTCAAGTAGTATTTGGGTAATTTTATACTGAGTAATCTTTTCAAAACTTTGAAATGATAACCCTGTGTCAGAAACTGAAAACAGAAATTATTGGGGTCCACTGACAGCATATGACCCTTGCATGTGTTGAAAATCAGACTAAGATCAATAAGCTTGGTAACTAAACTATTCACATTGGAAATAACTATTTTCTCAACCAGAAAAGCGATTCTTAAACAAGTGCAGATGTGTGTTTCATAGAATAGCATTAATTATAAAAGAAAAATGATGAAGAGGTTAAKCGTTTGTATCACAAAAATCAAAGTTTAGTTTTTTTGCGAAAACAATATTGTAAATGATAAGAATTGCTTTTGAAATGTAGATTATCCTGTATATTCTTGAAAAGCATTTTGTCATATTGCTAAGATTGTATTATTTTCTTCTTCTAGGTATCGAGCGAAGAATAGACTCTTTCAGGAGTCAAGAAGTGTTCCTTTGTCACCTGTGCCACCTGGCGAATCAACCAAACCAGGTTCTGTTCCTCCTTTAAATACTGACCCATCGTTAGTGTTCTTCTGCAGACAAATCTACGATCACAGAATGGGAAAAATTATCAAGAAKCCATAATAATGTTTCTTTTCGACTCGTCATAGTTTAGCACTCATGCTYAATCAAGTGTATCTTGAATTTGAAAATTTATAAGTCGTTGTGTTCTTTGCATTGTTAATATTTAATTATAATACTAATAGTTAGTTAATTAACTATGGTTCTTTCTCGAAATACTAACATTTATAGTTATTTATATATTGAATTCTTGAATATTAGAACTGATGTTGTTTTTTAGTACTGTGTGAATATTACGACTTCTTGGACCGTAGTTTCTCTACTTCAACATAGCCACTATGATTTCAAAACAGTTCTAGTTTTCAACTGTTCGAGGAGTAGAATAGTGATATAATATAAGAGTTCAGACACAGATAAAAATATCCTAGACGTGTTGTAATTATCGTTCTAAAAGCCGGAGGAGCTAAAAGCTCATACTTATTCATGTACAATAACTGTTCGTCAATTCTTCGTAATTTTTAGCCTTATTCTTCCGAGCTGCTTTCGCTCGGAAAGTCACTTTATGGGCTAGATAAATATGTGTTTAATGAAACATTTCATAGACTAAATGAACTTATATTTAGGTCTCTTTTGATCCTATCTTGAAAGGCATTTCGAAAAATAATGGGTCAGGTTCTTGCGATCTCGTTAAGTTAGAGTGGAAAATAATTTTCTAATTTATAGATACTTTGTTACTATTTTTATTGTAACGGATAAATAATGAGAGAACTTAGATTTTTAAAACTATAGCGTTTTATTTTTACTAGTGAGTTAATTTAGTATCACAATTTAGTTTATTCGTTATTCTCAATAACGTTTGCCTTTGGTAATTTTCATTTTTAGTGAAGACGATGTTGTACATTTTGTACTTTAATAAAGGTTTATTTGGATAGGTGGGTGTTCTCAATAAAACATTGAAACCAGTTCAAAGTCGTGATATCCGTTTTTACGTCCAATTTACACCAAAAGTGGCCGCCGCTCTACCGAATATTCTTCCCTGCCCTACCGGACCCCCTGACCACCTCTCTCCCTTGTCGCTCCTCCCCAATCCCCTTCGAGAGAGCCTGATACTCAGGCTAGCTCCAGCTAAGGCGATCTATCTAGATCTACGTTTTGGTCGAATTGTGTCGGGTATAGTGGGATAGAGCATATAAAGCTCATGATTCCGAAAAGTGTTGGGTGGTGTGGCAAGTCATCTATACTATGAAGTCGAGAGCCAAGACCTACGATCAAGACCATGGTCCAGGTGTATAACTTTGACTTTAAATAGGATAGGATTCTCTGACTCTCGTAGAACGTTTTGCATGAGCTCCAATGAAAGTAGGCACTGTGTCACCTGCAACAATTTCGTTCGGATTGATTCCCGCCCATGGGGGACCCGGATGTTCAGGAGAGGCTACTGCACTTTAGTAGGGCGTGTCCATCGGGAGACCATCCAGCCGCAAATATATCACTAATGTGATAAAGAAAAATACATTAATACATTACTCGACACATTAAATGACAATAATACTGCTTTCTTCATTTCTGGGTCAGCCCTGATGTAACTTGCATTATTTTAATGATCTCGTTGTTTTCTCTTTAGTAATAAAAGAACTTCTTTTCAATCTAAGCAAACGTGATCGGACACTTTGAAGTGTAGCTTTAATTTATGTCCGTTGACTAATGAAGCCGTCCTTTTAAAAGCTTCCATGRACAACGGCCTTCGTTATTCAACCATCTGATAAGCTTTTTAAAATCGTCCTGTTTGTATTCCTTAAACACTGCTCGTCTATAAATTTAAGTGCCGTAAGTCTAGTCTCCCTCTATTACCTTTCGCTATAAGTGACTTTTTGTGCTAAAAGTGATTTCCATTATCTAGGAAAAACTACCTAGACAAAAAGAAGTGATTCTGTTCTCAGCGAAAAATGAGGAAAAACCATCAAACATTGCTGGGCGATCACCAAATAAACTCCTTCCAAAATGTTTGATGATCCAATCACATTCAAGTTGTTTGAATTTGACCAAACAATAAATTAATGTTGCAATCATTCAACTGAACAAGCAATGCTTGATGGTGTTACTTGATCCAACATCATTTATTCTATGACTCACTGTTTCTAAAATTTACTTTACAAACTTAACTCTACCAATATCAAACAAATAACACAGCAACATGTGTACTAAACAAAAACTTATAATAACAACCAGATATATTTATTTGATTTACATTCATGTAATTATTACATAATTTCACAATAAAACTGGTAAAATGTCCGTTGAGAAGTTGTTTTCAGTATAGTTACAAAATTTCTGTCAAGCAGTAGAACGTCTTGAGAAAATTGATAATATCCTACAAATGTTGATGTGATGGTATACTGTCATGATGTTGTGTTGAATAGTATTATTTGAAGAATTTGTTTGGCTTATCCTCTAGTGTATTTGCCCCAGATATGAAGCATAAATACAGAAGCAATAAATAGCAAACTCATGACTAATACAGGAACTGGTCCTCTGAAATATAAAGAAATAACACCAGTGAGCATTGATATAGCAACCAAACAATTTCTTTATATAAAATCAGATGTATCAATAAAAGCTGATTTACACAATAATACTTATTGCTTGAGACTTAATATACAAGACAGTAATCATACTGAGTAAATTGCTCAACTATGACTAGATGCATGCAGTCTACAACTTGTCTAAGCTTTAAAACCAAGGTACAAACTGCTATTAGTGCATAAATCAAGCCAAAGGCAATAGATTGCATAATATTGRTCTGAAAAGTTAAGAGAGCTCTAGAGAGGTACTGTATTGCTGAAGAGAGGAAAAGTACTTGGTAACAGATTTTGCTTTTACTTATTTCACAATATCTTTATTTTACAGCAAGTTCAATTCAGAGATCTCAGAGCAGGGGGACTATAGCCCCTCCAATTTTTTTTCTTAAGGCCGATTTAGACTGTGCAACTTTTTCCTACAACTATTGCATGCAACATGCATAAGTCATCCTTACAACATGGCTACAACTGTCGTAGGGTTATCAAACAACTGTTTTCAATCTATACGACAGTTGTAGCCATGTTGTAAGGATGACTTACGTGTGTTGCATGCAATACTTGTAGGCAAAAGTTGTACTGTCTAAATCGGCCTTTAAATTTTTACTTGCTCCTTAAAAAACGTGAAAAAGTGGGCTCTACTATCCTGCTTGAAGTCCCTCTAGAAATTGCATTTTCGAGGTTCAAAATCTCAAAAATTCTAGGTCCTCTCTACTTGGGTCAGTCTTCAGTGGTGGTTTAGCCCCAAACCAAAAATATTCTCCACAGTCAAAGACTTTTCTACTATTGACCAGGGTAATGCAGATGTATAACTTACACTTTTAGACCAGGTGAATCTTCTGTGTAAAATCTCCACATACCACTACTGCCAGCAGTGGCTGGTCGAACAGCTCTTGTTGACGATGAGGCTCCACCTTTTCTAATAATTGAGAAGAAAATTACTAGGACACTTTGAACTTCAATGCAATTGGTACACCAATACTCCGATTTCGAGTTCTGGTTTGCTCTGTGTTAGCCTCAAAACCAAGCAACATATTCTTTTGTTTCATTAATAGCCCAAGAAAACGTATGGAATTTGAAAAGAAAGACAATAAAATTCATTTTGAAATCTCACACTTTTTTGGTCAAAGTTAGGAAGTATTTTGCGCACAAATGAGGCTAACACGGTGCATTGGAGAATTCGAAATTGGATTATTCATGTCACTTAAAAATAATTGGTAGATTAACAACAGACATTATTTTGATGTCTCTCTTCATTTCCACTGAAGTATTACACTGTAACATTTAGTTAATGTTTCTAGGGTTTAGTGRAGTAACAGTACAGTAATTTGTGATTTCTAATTACAAGAAGTAACAGCTCTCTTGATTCACAAATCAACTAAAAGTCAAACTTTATTTCCTTGGGAGCAAACGGGAAAGTTAAATGAAGGTTAACCACTTATTTTAATATTAGAAGAATCCTTAAGAATCATAATTACAAGTCATAGTTACAAGTCTTTTTGGGCTTATTTAGTAGAAATGAAAATGATAATAATATCCTTAAACTGGTTTCTTGTCACAAACAAATTCAATACAAGGAAACAGCTGATTATAACATTGCTAACGACCGATGAAGAAAATTTCTTGAATGTGATTTTCACAAACATCAAAACAGGTCAAAAGTTCTACGTCTTTATATCATAAAAAGACATTCTTGARAGAGAAAATCATAAAGGAATATATTTAGAATGGGCAAACATCATGTAAAGTACAYTAATGCTAACAACGAGAAATATATCGACAAAGATAAACCAACCTTTGTCTTACTTGACCACCAGAACCTCGCGAAGCAACGGCCTTCGAAGGCGCCCTTCCAGCTCCTACGTTTGTTGATGAGGGAGATCTTTCAACCTATACACACATCATAGTTTGGTAGTCTTGTTATATCATGATACAAACAATTATAGCGACATTTATGGATATTTTTGGAGAGAAAAACTCTACTCACCATTTTCACTGACGTGTTCTTTACAACTACAAAGTGGAAAGAACGTGTGACGTCAGGGGTCTGGAGATATTCTCCCGGCATGCCATGTGGTCAGTTTTACCWGGTCCSCTCGTATTCTTACACAACAGGGTGACCACTAACATAACTAAGATCYAAACTAATAACTTTTTCAAACTTTCTTCGAAAAAATGTTGGTTTTCCAATTACTAATGGAATGTAAACAAGTTACTTCTACTACGAGAAAGACTCGAGCATATTTCATCAAGTGCTATATATATTTTTTTGCGACAGAGATCAATTTATAATTTATTTAATTTCACATCMACTGACATTCTAGTTTGCGCAAAACTTTGTCTTCAACAATCATAACAATGGCTCAGTATGGCTGCTAATGCTCAAACCAACGGTTCCTGTTGATCAGCAAAGCGACCCTTAGGTTCCCATAGCTTTAATCAACTGTAACAATAGCAGTGACGTCACYCAGTAACAGTACCTAGACTGACTSCGTTCATTTCAATACAMAATCGAAGCTCYGTTTYAAACGAAAAATAGCTGTTGACAATGGCAGGTAACTGAGAAAAARACACATGCARACACAAAAATTGTGTAGACCTATTTTAGAGTTGCTATTCACARTACTTTTAATATTGTTATTAGGTGTTCAAGATTTCGACGTGGTATGTATGTTACAATATTTTTGAGATGTTTGGACAACTTTCCCTCCCGTTTTTCATTCATATTTGCCGTATTATATGAGCTAGCTTGAGTTAAACTGGAAAATATTTATTGACAGGTAATGAATAAGGTAGAGGATTATACGAAGGCTTCGAGTAAAGTTGGAACAGACGTTAAAAGTCAGGTGGGCTTTATTTAGCTTTTAACTCAAGCGAAAAAGCTTTGAAACACTGATAAAAGCAGCAACTTTATTCTTGCAAAATATTATTTATTCAAATGGGATAACAATTTTAACTATCTTTTGCAAGAGATACACTTTGAGATACACACACTATTTGCAAGGACTTTTAATTATTTATAGATTTTAAGGTGTGCTTTAATTTATTCAAACTGGCGATCATGAAAAGCTAGAACTTTACAACAAAGCACTTTACATGCGAAATGTCAAAAAACTGCTTGACTACTTGAGGAGCCATTGATATTAGTATCGTATTCACAGTTTTTTTTTTTATTTCTTTAATGGTTGAAACTGAAGCCAACGTATAATGACTATTACAAAAATATTCAAGGTTTATGTAACGGAATTGCAAATTCGCGTTCCATTTTCTAGAGATTTCTCTGGTAAATTTTGCTTACTAACTTGAGACTCAACCAAGCGAGAGCGTCTGATCAAAAAKGCTTTTGCCAAGAAAAAGTGTAGAAATCTGTAAAACAATTGAGTATGTCAAAATAATATGACTCTACTGTGCAAAGAAAAACCTTTCAAGGCCGAAAACAGACATCTTTTTTGTTCAAGGAGGACGTGTTTTGTTTTCAGCTGAGCCAGTCATGCAACAATTGCGATTAGAATTCTTTGGTTAGACAGGCTGCAGTCTGACGTCACGGCATTCCATAATGGACGCTTTTAAAACTTTTTGAGAATAGTTGCTCTCCATGATCAGAATTGATTTCGATTACCWTGGCAATGTTGAGTGGCGATCCGTCACTGATAGTCCCAAAGGCAGTTTTTAGTAATTTTGTGAAATATGTTATGGCTGTGGAGTTTCGAATTCAGGCCATTTTGAGCCATTTATCGCTATTGCTATCATTCCACCCAAAATCTCTCGGAGCAGCTAGGAAGGCCTGGCTACACAGGTTAGAATTAGCTCATATAATCTCTCTAAAAATTGAAGTTTTTAAACCGTTTTTTTTTTTCACGCAAAAGGTATTTCATATGGGAAGTTCAAGTATTGCGAGGAAAGCTTATTGTGCTATGTTGTTTCAATATTCAGTTCTGATTTATTGATAGTTAGGTTAAAACGTTATGTTTATGCTAATGAAATGTTAATGAACCGAAATGTAAACAAATTATTCGCCCATAACGCATCTTTCGTTTTCTGTTATAGGCCGAACTTACTAAGCAAGCTTTTGTAGCTCAAAAAGAATTCTTAAAAGGTGTTCCTGGTAAAGCCAAGCCATCAGAGGTGAATATTGTGTTTATTATTGTTGTTTATTTTTGTTTGTGTGTTTTTTGTTTTGTTTTGTTTTTTTCTCTGTTTTTTGTTTTGGTAATCCTTAAGAGATAACTGATTTTGTGACTGATATTTCAGAATGAATTCAGTGCCCTGCTGAAACCGACTTCTGATAAGATAGCCGCAGTGCAGGTAAACACTGTATGAATCAAATGAAATAATGTACACAGGTTTCAGTTTTTTGAAAAATGAGCAAAATGGATTTGCGTTCGCTCAACATCGTCTTCAAGGACAATATTTTCGTGTTGTTTATACCCCAATCTCCACTATCCACAAACACCTGTAGTTCCTCCCACATGAAAATTCTGTATCTAATTCTATCTTTGCTTTTTCTACAGAAATTCAAGGACCAACACCAGAGCAGTCCATACTTTTCAGGAGTTAGTGAAGCGGCTACCGCTCTAGGATGGGTTACAGTGGTAAGTCGTTTAGGTTCGTATATTAGAAACGGCTGCGATATCCATCAAAAAGCGATGGATGAGAGTAAAATGTCGCAGTGGTGAACCTCGACGAGTGAAATTGACACTATACTCAGGAGCGGGACAACCAAAGATTTTGGCGAACTTTATAAATGTATGGAAGGAAAAAAATACAGGCTTTTTGCTATTTGTGCCATCCCAAAATTTCAATTKTACTGTTGACAATTATATATACAAATATGACAATAGTTTTATGTTCTCTTCAGCCTGCTGCTGCTGATTACGTCAAACAAGTTATAGAATCAACAAAGTACTATACTAACCGAATATTGAGGGAACCCGGTACTGGGTAAGCCAAGAATATCACTTATGTACTTATAACATAGAATATTATCAATCTACTATTTTAATAAATATTTCATTTATTCAATTCAACCAGCTCGGCCTTCTTTTCCAATATCCACTTTCTGTTGACATCGCCGGGCGCATATAATGGACGGTTCATTTTAACGTSGATTTTTTTTTCAGAGAAAATCAGAAGAAATGGGTCGAGGCTCTCATTGCTGTCTTGAKTGAGCTGGAAACCTTTGTTAGAAAGCACCACAGCAATGGATTGACCTGGGGAAGATGATTCAGACAAAATGGTAATGACACCTTGTACCATTCACTCTCTTAGTGCACCTCTTGGGATTCCTGTCTTGAAAAGATCAACCATGTTAACTGTGGATTGTTTAGTATATACTCCTGGTAGTACTGCAGGTGTCGTTGAAAACAACCAAATGATGATATAACTAGTATCGCCATTTTATCAAAGTGAACGCGTATTACGTTAAGATCTAAAAACGTTATACCTTAATTAAGAACAAACAAAAAACGAAACAGCCATGGAAAGCTAGTCACTGCAGCGTTCAAAGAATTGCTTTCTTTGAAGTGTCTTTAAGGAAATATTTCTGATAGATTCAACTGATCTGAAATGAAAACACTAAATAGATTTTTTTTCATTTTCTTTTTTATCTTTTTTTTTTCTTTCAGCATCAAGTTTGGAGTCACTAGAAGCACCTTCGTCTTTTGTAAAACATTATTGTAGATGAAAAAAAATAAATCGTTTTTAAATGATATTGTGAGAATGATAGCAACTATTGTCAGGCTAATCTTTATTTCGGAGCCTTCTCTTTGTGAACAAGTACCCTGATTTTTTTGGTAAGCAGCTTTGGATACAACCTTTTTCGCGCTCTCTTTCTTGGTGTGTTGCTGTGTTTTAAGTCAAAGTAACCGACAAAGTGTAAATGACCAAGAAATCATTGTAGAAAAAAACTAAGTGATTTCGGTGAACTAATATCAGAAAGCAAGCGTTAATTTCTGTTGCAGTAAAACTTATACTACTCATGAAAACAACATTTTAAAAACTCAATCTTTGTGTGTGTAAGCTTTTCTCTGCGTCTTGATAAGAACAAGGCAAAATCGCGAAATAAGGTGTACCTTGGGGTGAAACATATAGTGCAGAAAAGTAAAAGTATAGGATTGAATTTAAGTCTTTTAGTTTGACATTAATGTAAGAATAAAATAAGCAAGAGTTTTTCCTTGATATGGAGTTTTGTTAATATCTCTTGAGAGGGAGGTTGTCACTGATATTTTTGTTAAGAAATTTGTCAGAAATGTTTCAGCTGTGGGAAATAATCAGTTAACGTGTTAAAGGTAATCATGAGATCAGCACCTACGGGCACTATATTCACAGCTGTAGATGATATCGTTTGTTATAATACTCACAATACGCAATTTCCAAGACAAAAATAGATTTTAATGGACAAATGACGATTTTTCAGCGGCTCGTAAGAAAAAGATATCGTTACGCTCTAATCAACAAGCCTTTTCGGTTATTTTTRTGCATGTAAGAGGTCTCTTTCGTGCCCTGGTTTTACGAGACATACATAACATAAGACTTAGAGGTCTTAGAGGATGACATATTCAATAGTGCCCAAGGCGAAGTGAGCTTATTTCAGTATGTTTTTAAGCTCACAGTAGAATCATAATGACATGCAAAATGTCATAAAATCAGGCTGCAATGTTTCATTTGTTGCCATGTCTGTCATAATATCGGTAGTCCGAGCCAGGTCTTTGCGTTTTCATGTGAGTATAACTAAGAACGCGTTAGCATTTAGCCATCGATTTTATTGAAAAATAAATGTAATTGGAGTATTGTTTACTGATTTAGAGAAGGGTCAGAGAAACATATGGCACATAAAAAGTATGCTCTAAATACCAATGCATTCACGAACGTATCAAAGAATCTGGTAGAAACTTTGATTTCTATGGTCTTCCATATATGGTCACGTAAAATCCGTGAACTAAAGTATGAACTAAAGTAAATCGGTGTCTAAATCATGCTGCGCATGCTCAAGAAAATCGAAAAGGCGTCCAAATAAGATTAGTCAACCACGTTGAACACAGGCACGCCCACGTTTTAGAACCCAGTTATTCAAGACGTAGGAGCATAGTTCTTTGTTATCTTGAATGTTCTTCTACCGCTTTTATTGATTACCTTATTTAACCATCTTTAAAAACAAAGGAATCCACAATAGTGCAAGCCCGATGGACCTACCATTCATACAACAGAAAAGCAAAGGTATAACATGATATATAAGCCTTTTGACTTGCTAATCACGCTAAACGATCCCGATAAAGACCATATACTTAGGAAATACGCTAGAGAATCGTGTATAACGGAAATTTACATGCGTTAGTTTAGAAATGTTAGAAAACTTTATCATTATAAGGGAATGTTATATCAATTTTCGAGAACGAAGCCTTCGTCAGTAATATTATATGGGCAACAAACTGTATTTGCCAGTGAGAGCATACAACATATGGGGTAAAGTGACCTGTGCCGGGTTAAATGCCCGGCTAGCTCGCCCTATCGGACTAGGTCATATAATTGTCCGTATATGCATATAGGTTATATAATTTAATGTCGATAGCAATTATAAAATCCCAGAGTTGTAGATTCCATAATATCTATAGTATAAAGGTATCATATTTGAATTGATCCTGATACAGAACCGGATTATTTCCATCTTCAATATTTTCAAAATTATTCCAAAAATATTCGAATATTGGAATTATTCCAAAAATATAGGACATAGTCTTACTAGCAGCAAAAATTCAGTATTTTCAGAATTTTCAGGGCCACTACTATGACGAACTCATTCCGGCCAAATAGTCAGTTATGTTGGGCGGGCACTATACTTGTAACGRAGTGCGCACAGGTCTTACACTAGTTATTTTCTTTAATTTTCGGACGGTCAAACATTTCATGTCAAACAGATTTAATTAATAACATTTTTTTTTTTTGTTTTGATGAAAGTTATAGTGAAGACGTTTAATTTGATGATCTAACAAAATTGACTAATCCGATCGGCGGACGAAAAAATAAAATTGCTGACAAGAGATTTTAAAGAAGATATAACATGGAATTAACGCTGATCCAGAAAAAGACGACTCTTGACGTACACGTAGTGACAATCCAGATCAGAGTATCAGGTCCCGACTCGAGAAGTTTTTCAGTGTTTCCGGAATACTTTTTATCCTGATGGAAATTATCTGCAAAAACTATCAACAACTGTAACGTATACGACCATCCACAAGTAACTGTACTATACGTACCGGATTCATTATACAGAGCATGCGCAATACGAAGAGAGCTGATTCTGTGATGTCATCTCAATACAAAATATCCGGACACGTGTGGACGATAGTTGACTACTTTGTAGTCAATGGTCATAAACTAACGACCGAGGGACTGGTACTCCTGATACACGCGCCTGCGTTATTATATGTCCAGCGACCAAACCAATAGAAACCGGAGAAATGAACGAATGGAGCCCGGGCTAACGCGCATCTGTATTTGCAGTTTTCAAGCATTTTCACCCTGAACCAGACCCTGAACACTGCTTTCAAACGTTTCCGGATACGCTAAGATGCTCTTAAMAKTCGAGATATAGCCGCAAATATTTCCGACTACTTTTGAGCAGAGCCGAACTCTCATAAGAGAATTTCAAAGTCTGTTGCTGGACGGTTTCAGAAAGGCGAACTTTTAATGTGCCTAAAAATTAGGTTAGCTGTTGCTATCATTAAAMTACACCGGCGTTTTCTTGAAGAAGTACTTCTATAAAACATACTTTTGACGACCGAAAATATCATGAAAAATAGCACAAGTTTGATCAATACATTCAACCATCTAAACATCGAGTCGAGTTGAAAACAAACAAACACTAAAAATACAAGCAAAAAATGAGGCGTTGCCGAGCGKACACAATTATTAACTTCACGAATAATAATTAAATCAATTAAAAAAAAAAATCGGTACTGAGATTCGACGTAGCTCTTTGAACCCAATTGTGTTTTTAAATTAGTTCAATTAGGTGGATAGATATTTCAAATAAGTTTGTCGGGAAGAACGGCGCATGCACGACCGAAAGGTACTATGGGTGTTGATTCTTGATGACATATTCGCTTAGTCCAGAATATATTCGCTAAGTCCAGAATATTATTCATTTTAAATAAATATCTTTAAATTATGGTTTGGTTGGTTTGTCTGTGTTTTTATTTAGATGAGTGGATATTTTTCATCAAAAAATGAATATCCATAGTTACTTTCGGTCGTGGTATCACCGATCTGCTGACAGCTTTTTTTTTGATAGTGTATTAATGCATCAGTCAATTGTAACCACGGCCCGCCAGCTCCTGGGAATACAAGGGAAATTAACATTCAAGCAAAGTTAYAGTCGCCGGCAAAACTGATCATTTCCTTTGATTTAGACATTAATTCCCCCTCCCTACCGTGATGTTAAAACACTGTTAAATCCCCGGTTAGAAAGGGTTAACTTCCCGGCCCTACCCGGGAATTATAGGCCGGGGATTAACTTTCAGGTCAGTTTCTTTCCTCTGCTCAACATCATTGATAAATCATTCAAAAGTATAGAGCAACGTTAAGAGATAAGGAATAGTTATGTAATAGCAAAACTGRGACACATGAGGTTTTTTCAGTAAATCTTGCCGTGCGCTTCGGGATATATTTTGAACATAGTGATTAGATAACACGGGCTCTTCTTCATAACATGATGAGTTTTGTAGATTTGTATCTTGGACAGCTTTTGGTTTCTCAATTTATTTTGTCCGATAAGACAACAGCCGACAATAAAAGACTTGATGTGTTCTTTGTGTTTAGGCGCAAAGACTTTATGTCGCAGACATCGAAGGCCCGCAGGAAAATGACCGCAATAAGTGCCCGCCATACAGAGGTTTTGGATAAGGAAGAAAAATGTTTCGATTGAATTATTATACCGTTTAGGCAAGCCTGCGAAATAGTAGTCTGTAAATACAAGTAGGTTGACGAGACATATTGATGTCCGTAAAAAGTAGTCTGTCATTAATGGAACGTCCCCTTTGAGCAATCCCTTGAAACAATACAACTTAGACAGCGTTGTGACAACGGTTGTGTGATCTGCATTAATTCGTCTTGGAGATCGAAGCCGCTGAATTCGCTAAAATGGGATCATGAACGATTTTGATTGGGCGCTCAATATGTTTTACTAAGGATCATGTGGGATCATAATTGCGCTGGCGATCATTTAGTAAATGATCCTCTATGACGAAATTCGGTAGTGGATACTAAAAAAAGGTATTAATTGAAACAAAACAGGAATAAACTCGCACATGGAAGTAAAAAAGCAAAACATTTGATACAAAAAAAACACAACATTGTTAGCAAATGCGTGAAATAATCCCACACTTTGAATATATATGAATGCAAAACAGTTACTATCGGATTCACTTGTAAGAGTCCGCTGTTTGTGTGCGAGTCGTAATCTAGTTCTGATGTATGATCAAAAGCTAAATCCACGTCACAAAATKACGTCTAGTTGAGGAGTCAGTGTATTGTTCTCGAAAACCAACGACATAGAAGGACGTCAGTGTGGGCGGGACTCTAAACCCAGCGTGTATATTTTGTTTATTATACCAAATCCGCTTTTGCGCAACAGAGCTATATGAGGTCTTTACTAGCAATTTGGTTTCCCCGTTTTTCTCTTCAGAAAAAATTAATGCGGTCTTGTTTTTATCGCAAAAGCCGCGGTATCGGCAAACTGAAAAGTTACCTTCACCTGCTTTTGATAATCTGAACGTAATTGATATGCCAAAAGGCAAACTCTAACAAGCAATTTCTTAGCTAATGCTATTAAAATAGACTATTCTCGCATTAAGGTAAAAACTGCTTAGTTTTCGTCCAATCACTATGCCCGATGATTTTTGGCGTCAAGGTACCTGACACACACATGCTTTGGAATGACATGAGGACATACGGGTAGTTATGTTCTTGATCTTATGAACTGCGCACTTTGGAAATTACATTTTAAATTTCGAGATGACAACTGAATAGTTCGGCTCTTTGAAGGTAGAATAATTCATCAAAACTTGATGGATGGAAATTATTGATTTATTCACAGGACTGCCAACAAAAACTAAAGCTAGTATACATACGCATATCTGCATGTTGAAATAAAACCCAGCCCGCAATACCAAACCCTCAATGTRTGAGCTGAAATGTCGATTCTTGATATTTTTATAATTCTCTAGATAAAAGCTTCCAGGATCTAGATTAATCAAACATCTATATATTACTTTAATTCGCTTCGGGCATTTTAGGTCATTTGGTTCGGTCTAACCATCGTTATTACAAAAGATGAAACACCGGATCTGCCAACTCGACGAGTTTCTAAGAAAAGCATCTAATAGTAGATGAGCGATTCCAAGCTATTCGCTACCAACAGAACTATTAATTCAACTCGTAAATCCTTCTACTAAAGTAGTGAGTAGCCCTACAGGCATTGGCAAGCATTAGCTTAATGTGATATTAATAAATAGCTGAATTCTTGTAAAGTTACTTCTTGATATGGGTGGAACCGAAAATACTCGAATATTTGTAGAAACTAAAGGGGGTGGAACAACAGATATCATTAAATGTTAGGATTCGTTTAAATGTAAATAATAAAAACAATTGAATGGAGCCAAACACACMAGATTTAATTCCTGCATAGCTAGATTATATCAATGGCCTAGAGTTAAAACATTGAGTCATTGTGAGCGMGATTATTTCTACAGTGTGGTATACGTCACTAGTACACGTATTATAGAAATGAAATACAAAAAAAATCTCGTTATAAAAATATGACTGRTAAAAAATTAACACTTTGCGCGTGGGAAAACGTTTGCATTAATGGCTATTGAAATTAGAAAGTCATGCAATTCATGACAATCTTGACGTGATTCCGGCGACATGTAACTTTTAATATACGTCGAAAAACGCATGTCCATTGCGCATATAGACTGATGGTATCAGTCGGCCGAGTCTGGCAGCCGGAGTACACTGCTCAATGGAAGTCAAAAATGAACATGATGCTTCAACTCAAAAACAAGACGAAACGACAACGTTTCATCAAACTACTTTTGCAAAACCTAAAATTTCAACATTGACAAGGAAACTCACTCGGTTTTTATCAACAGATCAAGACAGCGAGAGTCCTCGGGAAAAACGGGCAAGGCTCATCTCAAAGCGTGGACGAGTGAATATCGTAACATTGAACGTTGAACGACGTAATCTGCTCTATCTATCTGACGCGTTTACGACATTAATCGACTGGAAGTGGTACTGGATCGCGCTCGTTTTCTCCGCCTGTTTCCTTACTAGCTGGTTGTTTTTTGGTACTATATGGTGGCTAATAGTATGGCTTAGAAGCACACATGCTTCACAGGTGACATGTGTTGAAAATGTCACGTCATGGACTTCAGCGTTTCTGTTTTCCATTGAAACTCAAACGACCATCGGTTACGGCGGTAGACAGGTAATCCAAGAATCTACTCATTTATCGTATTGTTGTATGTATGTTTTGTTATTTTTACTCATGGTATATTCATGTTATTTACTTATAATTTCTGTCACAGTTACGTAATTCATAACGTCTTTTCATAACGTCTAGCTTTAGGTATCAACTCACAGCGTCACAATTGAAAAAAGAAAAAATAATTGCCTCGTAAAGTAAACTGTAAGGCTCTTTGTAACTGAGTAATGTATTTTATCTGTTCACTAAAACGTGCCATAAATAAATAATTTGACTTGTACAATAATTCTCATGTAATCCCCCTGAGAGGTTGTTGTCTGTTYTGCTCAGTGCATATAAGGCGATTACATCCATTTTGACCAATACGACACTTAGACGAGTACTTGAAACATCAGGGTTCGTGCCMTTGGCAACCAATTATGGGTGCGTTGACGCGACCCACTTCACTTCCTCCTACCATATTATAAATAATTCTAAGAGAGAGAATTTTTCCTTTTGCAAAACAACACTTGTTGTTATGGTATTTGCTGTATATTTTCATGAAAAATGCTAGTCAAATGTGCTCAAATAATTAGTTTTTTGTGGCATAAGGAGGATTGTTATTATTCTTAGCTGCGAAGTAGAAATCAATCAGGTTCAATCATACCCCATGCATGGAAACATTTTTTTTTCTTTTTTCGACGATATCATCACTTGCGCCTTTYGCGCCCTAAATTGATAAGTAAGAGAACAAAACAACCCATGTAGCAATATTTTCAAACCGAGTGTGCGTGTTTTTGATAAAAGAAAGAGCACTTACGGCAGCAGACAAGTAGTACAAGGAGTTTCTCAAGATGATGTTTGGGGTTTTGAGAGTTAGTGCAACAAAACAAAACTATAAACAGGAAAGAAGTCTTAATGAAACTAGAAATGTTATTCGTGAATAAGTTATTTATTCYCTATTGCATTATTAGTGGAATCAAAGCGTGAAAAAACAAGAAAGAACCGCATGTCTCGCAGCAGACTTAGTTCCAGATTCATCCTCAGGAGCACGTTACTTTAAAACTTTCACAATTTTTTTTCTCCTTCGTAAACCTGTCAATCAATTTGGACATTCTTCCTTATTTGGCAATAAGAAGTCGAGAGCAAACTTTTTGTTTTGAAAGTAACGACTACTGATTTTGTGTCAGTTTGTGAATATCATAGTAAAGCGAAATTATTATTCCTGATAAAACATCGTGGAAGTAATCCATTAGTTATCAGTGCGATATCCGAGGAAAACGGAAACCACCGATAAACGRTAAAAACGTCAAAAACATTCGCCCCTTCAAATCATGACGATAAAATTAATCATRGATGTGTTTTCCTTGCTTGCTGCAACACAACTACTTAAAAACCCTTTAAACAATTGTTTTTGCAGTARTTTTAACGCTCTGAAAACGCGATTCGTTTAACAGAAATATTTCCAGTTTAAATTTTCAAACTTTTCATCAGTCTTAAGGAAGCTATTTTGATATTTCCTTTAATCCTTTGAATGTTACTCGTTTTCTAAAGAGCTTAGCTAACAAAAAGCAACAGTACCAACAAAATAACACGTCAACAAAAATAGCCCACATCACATGACTAAATCATTGTTGTTGTTGTTTTTTTCTCAGATAACTCCAAACTGTCCGGAAGGTGTATTATGTCTTCTTCTCCAGTCCCTCACGGGATTAACAATCTCCGCCTCACTCATGGGTCTBATCTTTGCGAAAGTATCCCGACCACGCCCTCGCGCCCACACACTGATCTTTTCGAGTAACGCAGTCATATCGAGCAAGAATGGTGTGACGCAGCTGTCGTTTCGTGTGGGAGACGTCCGTAAGAGCCAGCTTCTCGAGGTTACCATTAAATTGCACTGRTTTCGATTTGCAACAAATCGGCTCAACGAGAAAATACTTCTTGAACAGATTGAGTTACCACTTTCGTTTTGCTCAGAAAGTGAGCCAGACTATGAAGTAAGACCTTTCATGCTTACACCGCTGACTGTAAGTCACGTGGTTGATGACAAYAGCCCTTTCTACGGTTTGAGCGAGAAGGGTTTACTGGAATCTAATATCGAGGTAGTAGCGGTGCTGGAGGGTGTAGTCGAGGCAACTGGCATGGTCATGCAGGCAAAAACGTCATATCTACCACACGAAATTCTCTGGGAGCACGAATTTTGCCCTCTAACAATCAAAAGTAATACCATAAACAATAGACTTCACTTGGACTTCTCGCGCTTTGATAAAACTTTCTCCGTCAAAACGCCCGCCAAATGTCCCGATATACGTCACGAACGTCATCATAAACGAGCCGTTGTTAGRCAGGCTGAGAGCAACGGAGATGTATGGGTACCTCGCCAATCACACAAAATGTGAATTGAAATGACTCAATTTTAAAGAAAGATAGTGGGGACCCTATGCAGTGAGGAGAGAAGAGGTCTAAGTCAGCTAAGAGACCGCTTATTCTTTTCTTTTCATTTTATTCTCAGCGACTAAAAACCATGAAAGTATAGGAAACGTAGTCGAAAAGAGAAAACTATATCAGTAAACCTTGACTTCTAATCCTTAAAGCGAAAACACTCAAACCGAAAATGATTTTTATCAGATTACTATCAAAATCTCTACTTCTACTTTGATTTCAAATGGTTTAAAGAGAAACAAATGGTTTYAAATGAGTCAAATGCATCTTGAGGCTACACCACATCGCATGTCTAATTGATAACAGCCAAAAGGGTTCCTCCATTAACAGTATCGAAATCTCACCGCAATGACGTGAACGTAGGCAAAGTGTACACATTACGAGTGTCTGTATCGAGTATGCAAAATGCGAGTTACTCGAGTTAAATTGTTAAAGCAAATATTYTGTCGTTCGAAGACATTTTTTGGCTTTAAAACACATGCTGAGGCACTTGTCATTTCAGATTAGCAAGAGTTTTTTGAAGCGCCGCGAAAAATGCTCTGAGCTATGTCCAAAAATAACTTAGTCAATAGTAATTAACATTCAAGTAAATTACATTCAGCGATTCTTCAAAAATAGTGCAAAGCGAATCTTTGTTTGAGATCAATTTTTAAATTATTCAATAGTAAATATATTTAAGTGGTTTCAGTAATAGTCTTACATGTTTTTTCATAWCAACGACAGTTTTTCTTTGGAAAACTGCTATATAAATGACGACCTTTGACAATTTACAAGGTAAAAGTAATGACAAATCCCGGGCCCAACCYAGAAATTTCATCAATTGTAATAACTTTGTACGGTATCTTTTAGCATTAAAATTGAACAACCTAAATAATCTGTGTATTTCTGCAACAGAAAAATTACCACTAGTGATGCACAACAAAAATACTGCAACAAAATTGCTGCACTGCGCCTGACCAGCAAAATTTAACTTTTTCATTCGCTTCACTGTAAGTGCTACCAGAACTATCAGAATAGTACAGTAGTTTAAAATGCTTTACTATCATTAAAAACAATATTATTATTATTTACTATTATTCAAAACAATTTAAAATGTATAAATCATTTTCATAAAGATACATYCCGTTTATAAATGATTTTTAATATTTCATTAGGTCACTTACAGTCGTACACAACGCCCACAAACAGTCTTCCGTGATCCTTTAAGGATCAATACATTAGGTAAAAACTCSTGATTAATAATAACACACGATTGTCTAATTTTTCCAGTATTGTTTACATCATTTGTGTGATAGAAAATTATAAACATGCCCCTAATCAAAACTTGGTTTTGTTTCGTCGAAACGATTCAAAAATTGTAAGGTGGTAGGACTTTGCCWGTAGCACTACCAAACCCAACTCGATAGCCATCTCCTTGAGCGAAACCACTCATAATYACTTCGTCGCCATCTTGGAGAAACTTRCTAGTCATCCCGTCACCAATGTCAATGGGCTTGGTGCCTTTCCAGCAAAGCTCAAGCATTGAYCCAAACGAATCTGTGGCCTGGAAATATTTATCGTTTTATGTCATTTTAGAAATACTSTTGCTTACTAGTTCCTTGCAAAAATAATTTCTCGTTTATTTCATAAAATAGTCAAATTTTATTGCAAAGGATATTTATTTTATAAGTCCGTTTAAAAGATTTTTTTTTGAAATAGTTTACTAATAAAAGTAAGGTTAAAAAAGGCGGGAAAACAAAATCTCAACGCGTGRGCGCCGAGCAATGTTATGCATTTCACACAAAATTGCAAAATGGTTTATCGACCAATCAGAGAATATGTAAGACTTCAAATACTCTAAAATGTCTCAAGCATCTGTCAAGCACAAAATGAAGGGAGGTTTTAGCAGTTCAATGCTATTGTATTCCCTCCCTTTGTTTCAAACTATTAAACAGAATGTAGTCACAGCGATAGCCATTCTTACCTCGCCACTGATAGTACCAGATCCCATGAGGTCTCCTGGTCTTGTGTTACATCCCGTGACCGTATGGTGGACAAGTTGCTGCTTTTGGGTCCAGTACATGTTCTGTGAGAAATAATATAAACATAAATTTTAAACACGGTTTCTTGAATAAGTTGTCTATATTCGCAAGAAGGGTGCATTGTGTTCCGTTAATCTTTTTGCAGTGTTGAGAACAATTTCTTGTTAGTTTTAAAACTTTTTACTGTCCAGTATGTAAAGGCTGGTTTACACTAGACGTATGCATAAGCACAGCAACAAGCATTAGTATTAACATAAAGAGAACAAAACTATGAAAACTTATGGGACTGTTTTCAATAGCGCAAAAGTATAGCGATAAACATAAGCATAGTCAAAAGGAACACTTATTGTTCACTTTTCTTGTGCTTAATTTTATGCTTATGTTGAGTAAAAAAATCATGTTTTAAGCTTATGTTTGTGCTTATGTCAAGTGAGTAAATGCTTTATGCTCATGCCTAATGCCATGCTTATAGCTATGCTTATGTCTAGTGAAAACCAGACATCCATCCATATATCTTACCTTCAAGTTTGTTTTACATATCACAGCTGGTTTGGATAGTCCTTCACCTAAAGTAAATTTTAATTTAATTTTTAAAAAAGCGTAAATTAAATAGAGGATATTACATGGTCGCTCGGAGATACGGATTTTATCTTCGACTGTTGAAAAGATCTCTCACGAGTGAGCGTGGCGAACGAGTGAGAGATTTTCAACACGAGAAGATAAAATTCATATCTCCAAGGGACCATGTAATATTCTGTTTATCATATAATCACATATGAAAGCAAATTATGTTGTAAAATACATTTTTCTTGCTTTTACTATATAGAAAAACCTCTAATGTGTTATTTTCACTAGTGAAGATATCAATTTTACGAAATGGAGAAATATAGGTATTTCATAGATAATTATATGATAAAAGCATATGAGAGGGGACATCACAAAAGGGGTCTTGTGTCTAGCTGGAAAATACAGTCTTCCAAAAGACGCAATTAATTCACTCGCTGCATCAAAAGGGTCTTAATTTTTTAGCCTCCTTTTGTGCTGTCCCTATTCATATATTTGTAGAGCCATAGTTAATAGAGGGTAGAGCATATCAATATATTAATTGGAGGAACTTTGACTGTCTTACTTACAGTTAATGGCAACTTCCAAATTGACATCAAATGTGTAGTTATCCTTGTGCTGAAGGTATGGCAGAGGTGTGGGATCCTGTGAGTGAAATTAAAGGAAAGTCTGAAAGTCCTACTTCTCTATGATGAATGCATTAATGCATTTTAAAGATTTTTTAAAAGTCCACATGCATCCGAACACCTTTGTGATGGTTTGTTTTGTTTTACAAATGTTCTTTTCAAAGATGATTTCTGTAATCAAAGGTTTTTCATATGATAGAAAATCCCCTAAAGGTTATTGGATGGACACGAGACATCATTATAACAGACAGAATTAAAGAATAACAATAACAGAGCAAAAAGCTGGAAAATTTATAGGACTGAACCCCTGATGGATTTCAAACCAATGACCCTCTGGATACTAAACTTGGTAGTCAGAAAAGGTACTATGGGTGTAAGGGTGACCAACAGACGAACTACATCACATAGTGGGCTGGCATGAATAAARCAACAGTCCTGATCTTACCACAATATGCAGTCTCCTTAAAACCTATACACCCTTTTAATAAGTCCCGAGGTATTGTTTTTTCCGCACTTGACGTCAAATTTATTCTTTTGAAATTTTTACAATACAAAAGGAATTCAAAAGAATAAATTTGACGTCAAGTGCGGAGAACGTAATACCTCGGGACTTATTAAAAGGGTGTATAGCTATGTCGAAGCTGTCTGACCAACATACATTTTTCCCATGAGCAAAATGGTTAAGAGTATCAGACTAGTTAGTATATCTATAGGGCCATGGTATTGATTCCCATCCCATTTTTCTGGGTCAGATGTATTTTTCAACTTGATGGCTATTGGTTTATGTTTCATACTTTACCTGGACAGGATTTGGTAGAGCAAAAGGTTTAAGAGCTTCCATTGTGACAATCCATGGTGAAATGGTTGTGCTGAAGTTTTTACCAAGGAAAGGACCCAGAGGTACATATTCCCACTTCTGAATATCACGAGCTGTACAAAAAAATCAAGAAATGATAKTGAAAATGATTTCCCTCAGGTCTATACGTCAGGCCCTAGCCCATCAAAATGCTGATGGGGGGGACAGGAATCCCAACAAAAGGAAGTAGATATGAATAATATTTTAATATTAAGTATTATTAACTTACCACTCCAGTCATTCATTAGCACAAGTCCAAATATATGCTCATGAGCCTGAGATAAGATAAGTTGCAGATAAGCAGTTTATTTTGACAGTATATCACACTCCCTAAACACTCCCTACTGCATTTTCCACTAGCTGAGGAGCGAAAAAAGTAGTCAGTTGCGTTGTCTGCTTGAAGTAGTCAGCCAGACAATAAGCTCCCAGTGGTGTGTGAGAATAATACTTCATCTTTTTTTATTAACTGGTATAAATATCTACTAGTCGTCTCTAGCTTAATTTTTTAATATCAGACGTTTCGATCTGGTCTCAGATCTTCTTGAGTGCAAATTAATCCTTTACAAATTATTTGCGCGTGCGTTGTGAAAATTGCGCGTGCGTTGTGCAAACAATTTGTAAAGGATTAATTTGTACTCAAGAAGATCTGAGACCAGATAGAAACGTCTGATATTAAAAAATTAAGCTAGGGACAACTAGATGTTATACTGACTATGAATCCTAGCTGCAACAACCATATCTTTTTTATTAACTGCTGCATTGTTATTGAAATGTTAAAAGAACAATACCTTATCTATTGAAATTGGTTCACCCAAGTTATTTCCTTTGCCAACAAAAAAAGCCTGAAAATAATAATAAAAGTTGATTAAGTTGGGTTTGTTCCATCCTTAATATTCCTTTTAGATTCATCCCAAATGCATTCAAGTTAACTTCTTGTTAAAAGTATACTCAATTTGTAAAACAGTGTCAGTGAGGAATAATAAGTAAACATAGCAAAGGAACATGAGGATGAATGTTACAGTTACCATTTCCATTTCAAAGTCCAACAATTTGCAAGGTCCAAAAACTGGAGGCTTTGCTATAATGAAATATCAAAATGTCAATTAAGGATAAAAATTTGGACTTGAATTCAGTCAGAAAAAAAATACTTCAGAGCCTTATAACATACTGTATCACACAACAAATCACAATCTAATGCAAGATTGTACAACTAGTGACCTAGCTATGCCAACAAAGTGCATGAAATTTTATGTGATAAGCGATGCAAAGCCATGATTGYTTTGTTTGTTATAAGTATACTCCAAGGATTTCCAGTTGCTTGACTAAGTGACCCCTTCGTTGAGAAATTCATATCATCAATAACAAAAACACTGCTTTACAAAAAAGAAGATTGAATGGGTTCTTACTGTCATCAGCACGTGTTTGTCCTGATGGTCTTCTAACAGGTGTCCCTGAAACCACCACAGAAGATGATCGACCATGGTAACCTACTGGAAGATGTTTCCTAGAGAGGGAAGAAACACATTTAAAAGTTTTTCCAACTTCAGATTTGCTCACTCAATCACCATTTCCTTGGGAGTAATTAGAAGAATTGTTTTGTCCCTTAGATTTAGCTGTATTTGTGTATCAACTGTAAAGTGTATTTTAACTGAAGAAGGTTATACTCATATATTCAATTCTTAGAACTTTAGCAGTTTAATATATTAACTTTAATATTAGAATAGTTTACAACCATCATAAGTAAATTTATAAATACACAATTTCAACAACATCAACTTAGAGATCCTTAAGTCATGCTAAATCATGGCTAATGATAACATACCAGTTTGGCATAAGAGCATTGTCCTTGCCTCTAAACATAGTACCAACATTGGTAGCATGGCTAATGGATGAGTAGAAGTCTGTATAATCACCTTAAAAAAAAATAAAATAACAAATCTTTTCTAATTAAATTGGAAATGAACTCACAGACCAGAAATATGTCACCTATAGTATATAATAAAACCAACCATTTTGCCTTTCATTTAATGTACTGCTCAAAATTACATTATTATGTGTAGTATCCTTTCAAACCAAAATATTATGTGGAAGATCCACTAGCAAAACAGTGTGTGTGCGCAAAGCCTCTATACTGCAACCTTGTACCCTTCAAAACTTTCCCCTTAAGTTTGTGCGCCTTCATGATGATTTTTGCAATGGTGCAGCTCAAGCCTCAGCCCCTGCCCTCCCTCGTGGAGAGAGCCTGCAACCCTCGCTAAAGGAAAATCAGGGCATTAATTTTTTATTCTACAATAATATAGCTAATCAAATTACCAATATTTGCTGGCAAATGCATTGTAACCTTATTTTGTGGAATAAGACATCTGCAAGTAAAAAAAAACGATCAGTAACATAAGCTGATGTGTAAAAGGAGTAATCCTAAGTATAAATCTTGTTCACGAGATCAAAATCTTGAAAATTTCACTGCATGCAAAGGTCCAGTTCAAGCTATAGATTGAACTAGTACTTATGAAGCTTRACACTTTCTCAATTGATGGGCTTCCTGTGTAGCTAAGTGACTGATTTGCRGGATGCTAACAACATTATTTTGGGGTAGAGGAGGGGCTGGGGGAGCATTCTGCTGAACTGAGCTGGATGGTGCATGCATTCTCAACCTCTTTGTATCAAATTATAAAAAGAACAACACCATGCTCATTGGGTAAAAAAATTACAAAGTTCTTTAACAAAGACAAAGAGGAATGACTCTAGGTACATGTACATTGAGGAGCTTCAGTCATATAATTTCCTGCATAGCAGCCTTTAGGGGACTGGGGAGGTCCAAGAGCAGAATGGAGAGTTTTCATCAATTTCCACTTGGTCCTCCCCAGTCCATTTAGGTCTGCTATACAGCAGCCTACAGTCATAACAATGTATACTACTCACTTAGAACGTAAATCTGCATTATCACGTAATACAGCCTGTGGATATATAGATTATGCATTAAAACTGTGCCAACGTAAATTATAAGAAATAATATGTAATGCAGTCAAACATTGTTGGGTAGACATTTGTGGTTTTTGGTGACATGACAAATGGRCAATACATTCAAACCTATCCAACATATTTGATGCTCCATAAAATAACATCTTTCATCAAACAGGGTTGGTGAGACATGGTAAAATGTTGTGTCACTCAACAATTTTTCTTGTTGTTTAATAATTTTCAAAACTGTCTTAACAAACTATTTTATACTGACATATTAAAAGTGCCATCTATATATTTGTAAATGAAAATGCTAAGTTTACAATATAATGACCTCATCTTTGGAGAGAATTCTTTGCAATGTTGATCTGGCTTCTTTCCAAGCATCACAGCCAAGCCCCATAAAGGAGTTCAGTGTTGTCTGTCATCAGAAAAGGGATAAAGATASCATTTAATTGTTAATGAAAATGAGGAAATTGCAAATAAGGTGKAGATATGATATACYCTGTTTCTCTAGTAGCCAGCAGTCSYTGCCTGCCGAGCCTCATTGTAGCAGTCAATTTAGCCAGCATTCGATTRGCTTTCTTTGCTTGTATTCTTTGTAGTCCCTTGTGAATTTTTGTATGTAAACTTTAAAAGTTAGWCTTTATTTTGTAACAGTTAGTTAGTATACGTATTTAGTAAGGGAGTCAAGACGTTTTAAGTAAAATGCATGTAAAAAGTTAGTCACTATTTAAGTATTGTATTTAGTCGAGAAATATAGTTGCATGTATTTAGTTTAACAAGTAACACTCATTTTCATGATAAACACAAAGAYAATACGAGACCTAACTAATATTGCCTTGCTCAATTTAAGAGCTATATTCTCAAAACTTTGCATCTTTATCACTAGTGATGGAAACAATTTGATACTTCATTTAGTTTTCACATTTATCAAACATTTCAAAATAACATTTTAGTGTGATAAAGGTCTCTTGCTTTCTTTGTATTGAATTTTCCTTGTGTACAGAATGTATTGTTAAGAACGCACTAGTTCAGTAATAGTTACTAATAGGTACGTTCCTAAGACTATTAGGTACAGTGGTTTTAAATATTTGAAAACCACTTTAGACTAATCCTACTCTTTATTACTCTTCATTTGTGCAGATTGTTCTTTTTAATATTTTTGGTGCACCACAGAATATTATACTAACATCTCTGACTTTATTAACTCTTTGTTTCAAAAGTTAATGAAAACCACACTAAAGTAGCAACTARTTAGATATTAATGAGCAAAAGTGCTTAATTCTACCACATCAAATTTGTTTAATATTCTCCACGCTTTTGGATTTACAATCCATCATCAGCGAATAAAATGGTTATAACAACATATTTATTTATAAAACATKATTCAAATAACTTAAAACAAAAACAGCTCACTTGCACTTATAATACAGTTCACTATTGAAACCCAAAATTATTGCTGTAAAACATTTTGTAAAAACACTCTTTTCTAATTATCTGACTGTTAGTTAGTTATTCAATAACATTTCTATCAGAGAGGTTGAAGGAAAGGGGATATTTTATTCATGTAACCATTATTCATCCCTTATTTCATCCTAAAATCACTATAGAAATGTTTTTACCATTCACAGGGTTTTTGGCACCAGTTTCAGCATAAATTCAATGCAATTATGTCAGAGAGTTGCCAACAATAGTTTTGTCATGGCATTATGCCATGTGGTAACCTTGTGGTAAATGGGTAGGGCCATGGTTACAAGACATTTAGGCTGGTATTCCTTCTWAAACCACAGGTGGTCATTCTATGACCATGACATAATTAGCAGACAACATGTCTTTCCACTGACGCTGCAGGTGTATCCAGCATTAGGTACAAACAGGTACCAACAAGCATTTTACAGGGCCAATAACGTTATTTTGGTAGAGTAGCCATGTACAAAAGAATTGCGTACAAGATTATGTGGAAACAATGGGGGATCTTAATGTATTCTTTTATTTCCACATAGTCCCATCTACAATTCATTTGTGTACAAGATTGCTGAACCAAAATATCTAAAATTCACTATTTCTAATGTCAACATTAATTAATCTAACAAGTTACTAAACATATTTATATTGAATAAATATTATTGAGTTTCCTTTGAGTAATGTTTACTTATCATACCTCATTGAATACATCTTGATGGTGTTTCAAGATCTCACCATTAAAGAGATGAGCAACTTGACTTAGATCTAACACATAATCTCCAATAGCTACACCAATTCGATGCTTGGACTGCAATAAAAAATCAAATGAATAACCCGAATACTAACCATAATTGTACTAAACCTAAACCTAACCCTGAATATAACCCTAACCATTAGGATTTATTCCAGAAAATTATTGCTTATTTAGTCCATTGAGGACTTTGGGCGGCTACGGCTCATATAGCCACTTTTTAAGTTTTTTTAGTTCACACATTTTTGACATGGKWATCAAGTGTCCCTCCCTGATAATTGATGGTTTTCAACCATTCCRAGGAGAGAAAGTTGAACAAAAGATGTCCGCCATTGCTGGTGGGACCTGACAAAAGAAAACCACCACCGTGACTGGTGGACCTTTTTGTTTTGCTCACTCTTATGGGAATGGTTGAAAACCATCAATTTAGCTACAGTTGTGAGAGATAAAATGCTAATTTTTCTCTGTAGCTCCATACAATAATGAATTGTATAAAAGCTTGTCAGCTTATGTTAATTTTCTTTGGATAAATGGTATATAATGGGAAAAATGGAATATTTCAAACAAAACTTTTCATTATAATTCAAATAATTACAATCAAAAAATTAAAGGAGYAAAGGATAGTCGTATTGGTAAGCACTAGAAAAACATGAAAGATCCATTCCAAAATATCACAGTCAGAAAATCGTATTTCAGGTCAGAAAGACCACGTGCACTAACAAAACGCTAATAAATAATGATCATCTCACATTGTCGTTGGTGGAAAACACTCCGTAAGGAAGATTTTGGATTGGAAAATGGCTCTCGGGATGAACMTCGACAAAGGACATGGCTAAATCTGTATATTTGTTAAATAAATGTACGCCAAATTGTTGRAAAATGTCTTCCACGTTGTCTTTCGATGGAGGTGTGCACAGGGGCTGGCACTAGTAACACAGGAAGCCCGTAACGGATTACTATAGCGTTCAAAATRAAAATAAGATCAAAATACAGACGAGAAAAATATTAAATATTGGCTATCTATTTCAAGAGAATGAATGTCAAGATACTTTTTTATGAACATTTTTGAGCGGGAGAAGGATATGTACAAAAGCCCCTCGTCCCTCCCCCCAGCGCAACGGACCTAGTCACGTGATATTTTTCCAGACAAGGTCGACAGACGCAGACAGACTGGATGTTTTGCAGTGTTTTGGCTATAAGGAACGTGTGGCCGCCGTTCCTTGGCTTTTCCCATGGACTTCAGACTTAGAGATTTACTTTTGGCAGGTCTAGGGCTACTTTTGATGATTGGTGAGTCTAAAGATGTCTCGATTTTGGCATTTTTATCGAAYCGAGACGAAAATTGAGCTATGCTTTTGTCTCCGTTGAAAGTGCGCCATATTGAATTTGCCGTTCCCAGCGTTTTCTTCGTAGAACTGTTCATCACCCGCGTTTCAGGGTATTTAATTAGAATCTAGGTTTACATATCCTCATCTTGACTTACTTTAAATTGTGTGGTGAAGTGATTATCGTCTGTTATTGGGATTTTTTTCACCGAACGAATCGAGTGTTCAAAGTATTGTCTGTCGCCGATGCCTTGTCACTTGGATGTCTGGCCGACAATCAACTGTCGGTCGAAAGAACTTTGTAGTTGCAAATTAAGTTAAGCAAGTTCGTTGCAGTGCTTTACACCGAAGCGAATTGAATTTCAATCATAAATAGAAGCAACATTGTAAGTAGAGGCTTGAAACGAACACGCAAGACTCGTCAAGTTATGCTTCACTGCACTGCACGATATCTTCAACAAAGCTTATGAATTTCTAAATTTTTAAGGTGATTGCACTACAATGTACCAAAAACACCGCCAGTGAGTGAAAATYCATTAAATATCATTTTGAACTAGATCACAGTGTTTTATTACGCAAAATGTCCAGTATTTGTATCTAGACATTGTGATTTTTTTTTCTGATCATTCATTTAATTTTCATTTGTACCCAGATAGGCTGATATYAAATAGTAGGTCGTATATTAAATTGTCAAAGATGGCTCATGTGTCCGTATAAACCTTGTAAATGCTGAAGTGTTTGCACTAGAACAGAGGCATCTGRTCCAGTAGTGACATGAAATTTACATAAGCTTGAATCAAGTCAACAAAGTTCTTTTCCATTGATGTGCGACGCAGGAATTTAAGCACGTTTATGCTTATAAAACTACAACATAATGGAAATGGTCAAATTAGTGTTTAAGTTTTTTTAAATTGAAATAATATGGATGTATGACCTTTTACACCACCAAAACTGCTATTCCAGGTGCGATTTGTAGTTATTGCATAGAAATATCAATAATGTTAAAAGTTTCTGAATAAGATAAAACGTTATTATGTTGCAAATTTATGTGTTATTCTTCCATTTACGTGTAGGCTTGAAAATCTTGTGTAAAAGTTTTTTAATCAAATTTAAAATATATATTTTTACTTAGTGGAGACTTCATGCTTTGCGGTAGCGCAGGCAGGTGCATTTAGAGATAATTTTACAGTGATGATATTATTCTGTCAGTTATGCACTACTGACCCTTAGGGGTGGGAGGAGTGAGGGAATTGAAAGCTAGGAAACAATGTAGTTTATCTCATAATATTATAACCCAACTATTTAAAGAAATGATTCAGCATACCCAAAGCTACACAACAAAATGATAAAATGAATCATTTAGCTAAATACATCATAAATACTTCAATAGAATAAATCTTTTATGAAATAACAAAACCATGTATGTTTATCCTTAACTTAGCTACAAAGCACAGTTTTATTATTTTCTATCATACTATTCATAATGCATTGTTCAATAATGCTTTAACTGTGTGCATAACATCATGTATTTTGTACCTCTGCTAATCAAGCTCTTTTGAGCTGATCTTCATGATTTTCTGGGTGTGAAATTGTAGGAATCACATGACTTAACTACAAACTATTTAATTTATGATGTAAAGATGTATCCAAGACCTGAATGATGATAAATAATAGCTTAAATCCTTTCCATGGTACATAAAATAAAAATACTGAATCAAATAATAGGATCTYCTGGGTCTTAACATGAACAAACTATGAAACATTAATGATTATACAAATTGAATGGCAGCTACAAGAAGTGCAAAGCTCCCTTAGGCTTTGCTTGTTTTAGACATGATTCGTAAACAATCTAGTTTTACGGCTGTATAGATCCATATTTGTACAATAATATGAACAGTCATTTTTTGTGCATCGTAAAGTAGCTTTATTTTTATACTTTCTACTATACTGTATGTATTTCCAAACTTCCCTCCATCATCTTGCTCAGGTAGAAATGTCTTCTTTGATAAATGTGGACAAATAAACAATGTATTTAGTGCTTTGACCCAAGAAACGCATGTGACTGCTTGAAAAGTTTGTAAATGTAATATTTATTGATCATATCTTAATTCTTAATTATCCATGATTCATGTAATAACTCAATCTAAGGTTTCTTTTACAATAAATATATATCTAGGTTTTTTTCTTGAGTTTATTGACCTTGTATCCTTTATAAAAACCACAAAATTCCTGATATCTTTGAAAACACTTTTCCAACTTGATATTTTTTAAAACTGTTTCAAAACAATGATCTTTTTGATGTTAGCATTAAGAATAATTTGTGGTTTACAAGTTACCAGATACCACATGTAAATCCTGCATTAGTAATACCCTGTCTATATTGCTGTTGAAATGTTTGGCTATTCCAGCCTGTTCATACTTTTTAAAATAACAACGCTATTGCTTTCTTTCAAAAATTATAGATCATTCTGGAAACAATTAGAATGGCAGTTAGCGAAAAGTGCTCAAATGGCGATCAAAAGCATCTGTCACACTATTTTAAAACCATTCAATTAGACATCAAGCTGGCCTTGAATATTTTAATACTGTTTGAGCACTCATCCTTAAAGTGTTCATGTATATTTTAAAACCATTCAAACAGTAACGGTGAATCACACCATTCATGATTATTCATCAATAGTTGTTATCGCTTTTAAACTGCTTGTTTACATCTACATGTACATTAATCTTATATATTTTTCTCATATTAGATATAATACAAATTTTGCTTTAGCCTATTTTTAACGTTTCTGTCACTTTGAATTTAAAATGAGATTAAAAAAAAACTAAACACTGAATCTCATCCTATGTATTGGTTATAACCAAGTGTAAAACTCCATCTGGGAAGTATAGTTAATCACTGTTATTTATCTTGTCTTTAGACCTAAGCACTCAATATCCAAGTCCAGAAAAAAGATTCCTTAAATGCAAGTGTGATATTTGTCAGAAAGATAACTACACATGTACCACCACTGGAGGGTGTCTAACAATCCTAAGAAGAGAGGATGGCGTGGTAAAGAGAGCTAGAAGTTGTACTTTCAATTCCCCAGGTCATCACTTTATATGCAGACCTGCCGAAGATGAGCAAAATCGAGATATTAAACACCATTGTTGCTATTATAACATGTGCAATGTGGATGCTAATGTCACACTACCCACACCAAGACCTGTTACTGTAAACAGCAAAGGTGAGAAATGATAAAAGTAATATTGAACTATAGTCTAGGCTTTGTCTCAACACATCAGTGTCTCTAATACTTTACAGAAGTGATAAAAGATTATTAGTTGTAAACCATAAAAAAACAAAGAGTTTATATCAGCAAGTTTAAAGATGTTTATCACTATATCATAACTAATGGTGAAAAATACTGAGATGAAATAATGGGTAGGGGAAATGTGTCCTGACAAGTATTGTGTACTGTAAAATGTATGTCAAGGCAAAGCCAGAGAATAGAAACAGTATAATTTTGATGATTGGGAATCAGGGAACTATAGTTAATGCTTTTTTTGTCATGAAACTACAATTATTTCATATTGAGTATCAGGTGAATATGCTAATAAGCAATTGTGAAGTTGTAAACTTCTATAACAACAAATGGAGAAGTGAAAGCAAAAATACTGATTCAATTGTTTTGAAGTTATGGAAACATGCACAWATCCWCAAAGAATCCTCAACAACTTATGATTAAAAAATAATAATGCAATTAAAATATGCTTAAAAGCTCATATGTCTGGCCATATGTCTGTAAATTTTCTGCTAACATGGCTCACATACTGTGCAGTTACTATGCATAGTTTATCCTTAAAATGGTATGATTCAATACTCATGCTACACAAGTA